CGTAATCTATCACGAGACATAGTTTTTCAAAAAAAAAAAAATTCATATTTTTATAAAGGGTGGTTTTTCTATAAGACGCCAGGGGTTTAGGACATTTAGTTTTTTTCTGTAAAGTGACATTATTTGGTTCTTCTTACATCCACTAATCGTAATCTGTCACGAGACAGTTTTTTAAAAAAAAAATAATTCATATTTTTATAAAGGGTGGTTTTTCTATAAGACGCCAGGGGTTTAGGACATTCAGTTTTTTACTGTACAGTTACATTATTCGGTTCTTCTTACATCCACTAATCGTAATCTGTCACGAGACATAGTTTTTTCAAAAAAAAAAAAAAAAATTATATTATTATAAAGGGTTGTTTTTCTATAAGACGCCAGGGGTTTAGGACATTCAGTTTTTTACTGTAAAGTGACATTATTTGGTTCTTCTTACATCCACTAATCGTAATCTGTCACGAGACATAGTTTTTTCAAAAAAAAAATAATTCATATTTTTATAAAGGGTGGTTTTTCTATAAGACGCCAGGGGTTTAGGACATTCAGTTTTTTACTGTACAGTGACATTATTCGGTTCTTCTTACATCCACTAATCGTAATCTGTCACGAGACATAGTTTTACAAAAAAAAAAAAATTCATATTTTTATAAAGGGTGGTTTTTCTATAAGACGCCAGGGGTTTAGGACATTCATTTTTTTTCTGTAAAGTGACATTATTTGGTTCTTCTTACATCCACTAATCGTAATCTGTCACGAGACATAGTTTTTTCAAAAAAAAAATAATTTATATTTTTATAAAGGGTGGTTTTTCTATAAGACGCCAGGGGTTTAGGACATTTAGTTTTTTACTGTAAGGTGACCTTATAAGGACCTTTTTACATCCACTAATCGTAATCTGTCACGAGACATAGTTTTTCAAAAAAAAAAAAAAAAAAAATAATTCATATTTTCATAAAGGGTGGTTTTTCTATAAGACGCCAGGGGTTTAGGACATTCAGTTTTTTACTGTAAGGTGACTTTATAAGGACCTTGTTACATTCACTAATCGTAATCTGTCACGAGACATAGTTTTTCAAAAAAAAAAAAAATAATTCATATTTTTATAAAGGGTGGTTTTTCTATAAGACGCCAGGAGTTTAAGACATTCAGCTTTTTACTGTAAGGTGACCTTATAAGGACCTTCTTACATCCACTAATCGTAATCTGTCACGAGATATAGTTTTTTCAAAAAAAAAATAATTCATATTTTTATAATGGGTGGTTTTTCTATAAGACGCCAGGGGTTTAGGACATTCAGTTTTTTAATGTAAAGTGACATTATTTGGTTCTTCTTACATCCACTAATCGTAATCTGTCACGAGACATAGTTTTTCAAAAAAAAAAATAATTCATATTTTTATAAAGGGTGGTTTTTCTTTAAGACGCCAGGGGTTTAGGACATTCAGTTTTTTACTGTAAGGTGACCTTATAAGGACCTTCCGAAATCCACTAATCGTAATCTGTCACGAGACATAGTTTTTTCAAAAAAAAAAAAAATAATTATATTATTATAAAGGGTTGTTTTTCTATAAGACGCCAGGGGTTTAGGACATTCAGTTTTTTACTGTAAAGTGACATTATTTGGTTCTTCTTACATCCACTAATCGTAATCTGTCACGAGACATAGTTTTTTAAAAAAAAAATAATTCATATTTTTTTAAAGGGTGGTTTTTCTATAAGACGCCAGGGGTTTAGGACATTCAGTTTTTTACTGTAAAGTGACATTATTCGGTTCTTCTTACATCCACTAATCGTAATCTGTCACGAGACATAGTTTTTCAAAAAAAAAAATAATTCATATTTTTATAAAGGGTGGTTTTTCTATAAGATGCCAGGGGTTTAGGACATTCAGTTTTTTTCTGTAAAGTGACATTATTTGGTTCTTCTTACATCCACTAATCGTAATCTGTCACGAGACATAATTTAAAAAAAAAAAAAAAAATAATTTATATATTTATAAAGGGTCTTTTTTCTATAAGACGCCAGGGGTTTAGGACATTCAGTTTTTTACTGTAAGGTGACCTTATAAGGACCTTTTTACATCCACTAATCGTAATCTGTCACGAGACATAGTTTTTTCAAAAAAAAAAAAAAAATAATAATTCATATTTTTATAAAGGGTGGTTTTTCTATAAGACGCCAGGGGTTTAGGACATTCAGTTTTTTACTGTAAGGTGACTTTATAAGGACCTTGTTACATCCACTAATCGTAATCTGTCACGAGACATAGTTTTTTCAAAAAAAAAAATAATTTATATTTTTATAAAGGGTGGTTTTTCTATAAGACGCCAGGAGTTTAAGACATTCAGCTTTTTACTGTAAGGTGACCTTATAAGGACCTTCTTACATCCACTAATCGTAATCTGTCACGAGATATAGTTTTTTCAAAAAAAAAATAATTCATATTTTTATAATGGGTGGTTTTTCTATAAGACGCCAGGGGTTTAGGACATTCAGTTTTTTACTGTAAGGTGACCTTATAAGGACCTTCTTACATCCACTAATCGTAATCTGTCACGAGACATAGTTTTTTCAAAAAAAAATAATTTATATTTTTATAGAGGGTGGTTTTTCTATAAGACGCCAGGGGTTTAGGACATTTAGTTTTTTACTGTGAAGTGACATTATATGGTTCTTCTTACATCCACTAATCGTAATTTGTCACGAGACATAGTTTTTTCAAAAAAAATAATTCATATTTTTATAAAGGGTGGTTTTTCTATAAGACGCCAGGGGTTTAGGACATTCAGTTTTTTACTGTAAGGTGACATTATAAGGACCTTCTTAAATCCACTAATCGTAATCTGTCACGAGACATAGTTTTTTCAAAAAAAAATAATTCTAATTTTTATAAAGGTTGGTTTTTCTATAAGACGCCAGGGGTTTAGGACATTCAGTTTTTTACTGTAAGGTGACCTTATAAGGACCTTCTTACATCCACTAATCGTAATCTGTCACGAGACATAGTTTTTTCAAAAAAAAAAAAATAATTTATATTTTTATAAAGGGTGGTTTTTCTATAAGACGCCAGGGGTTTAGGACATTCAGTTTTTTACTGTGAAGTGACATTATATGGTTCTTCTTACATCCACTAATCGTAATCTGTCACGAGGTATAGTTTAAAAAAAAATAATTTATATTTTTATTAAGGGTGTTTTTTCTATAAGACGCCAGGGGGTCGATTCTCGACTTGTAGGAATTTTTTCCTATAGGAATTTTTGACATTTTTCTATACATAGAAAATTTATGACATTTCCCTACATATAGGAAAATGTCACAAATTCCTATAGGAAAAGGTTCCTACAAGTCGAGAATCGACCCCCAATGGTTTAAAATATTTAAATTTTTACTGCATGAGACCTTACGAAATAATTAATATATCTACTTGTCGTAATCTGTCACTCCTCTTGTTTTTTTAAGTAATCATCTTTTTATAAAGGGTGTTTTTTTGAGAAGACGCCAGTGGTTTTAGACATAATTTTTTGACAAACTCAGATCTGAAAGGGTACCTTTTTTTCCATTATTCGCTGTCATACGGCAAATTTTGAAATATACCTCTTTCTTATAGAAACTTTACAAACCACACCGTTTAATCAAAAATCGAATCATAAACATTACTTTCCTATAAATTTAGAAACATTATAAATAAATGCAATAATTAATTTTAGTTGTGTGAACTTGGTTAGGAGGAGGGGGTAGAGCGCTGAGTTTGGGCGCCAGCGCCGGGCGCTAACTTCACACAAGTAAAATAAGTGTCAATGACTGGTACTTCAAAACACTTTTTTTATATTTATTTCATGAAAAACAAAATTATTAGAACTAAAAATACATAACTAATGAACTCAAGAAAAAATCGTATTATATGCTTAAATTTTTTTGTTATTGGTGAAAATATTTAATACAAATCAGCATCTAATAGTGTCAATTATCGGTGCAGTTACCTTATTAAAAATTACTCCAAGTAATTAAATCAGTTTTAAGATTTGGCTTTCACTCTATTAGAGCTTTTTTTAATGTACATAAATAAAATTTAATTTATTTTACTTTTTGATCAACTCCATATAAATAAATTCCAATGAATTCAACCCTTCTCCTATTTGATGAAAACTTGTATATGACATAATCCTTTCATCAGTGAAATTCATGAAAACTAAATACCTAGATAGGTTCAGACTCAATTACATACATAATATAAGTGCTATTACACAATATAAAAAAAAACATACTGAATCAAACATGAACTGAAATAATAAAAACTCAGTTAAATAAACTTTAACAGTGGCATACAGCATCATGGGTAAGTAACACCTTTATCCCTTCTAAATGTTATGCCTCTGTCCAAAAACTTATTTAAACTATAATTTTTAAATAAATCATGTTGGGAATTTATAAAAAACCAGAAATTACAAAATTTTAAAATAAATGAAAATGAAGAGTATCCACCTTTGAGTGTGAATATCTCAAAAACCATTCATGAGTTCCCAACAAGAGTACATGATTTATTTAAAATACATCAAAAAAAAATTAAAATGTTGGTCAAAATAAGTCATTGGGTAGTGACATAGAATTTAGAAGGGATTTAATTGATTTTTTTGACTGAGAGTGTGTTTTAGGACACCAAATTGTTTGCTGAATTTAGTGAAATTATATTGAGAAAAAAATATAGCCACTAATAATTTTAAAATTTTCAACTTTAACACCCTATATTTTGGTAATATTGTTTTCAAGCATGTTTCGTTTAATCAACTAAGAAGTGTTTTGATGAAGTGAGTCCATACCTGGAATGACCTATTAACATAGGGGTCTGGTAATTACTTCGCTTGATAATGAAAAATAAAAAAATGATCCTAGGTAATATGAGTAAAAAACTAATTATGTATTTATACTGGACAGGATACTAAGAGTAATTTTAAATACCCATCATTACTTACTATGTTAGTTTAATTTGAAATAAAAATACTTACCAGCACATACCGTTGCACTAATATTGTTTCCTATCCAAATAACAAATTTTTGACCACTATGAACTATTCTAATTTGATTTAATAAGGTTTCTTGAATATTATCAGATAACATTTCCTAAAAATTCAAGAGTTTTAGCAAGGTCTAGTAAATTCATCACAATTTGATATAAAACCCATAATTGTGACTAACCAAACAAAAATACATCAATGACCTTTTGTGTTAATACTCGTGTTAATACATAAAAATATATTATTGCTCTCCACTGGAAACTCACGAGAATTTAGTTTTAGTAATAAAGATAGTTCAACTCAATACAACATAGTATAGTTGACACTTATATACTTACTATAACTTCGTAATCATTTTGATTTACGGGAAAAATTGTAAGACTTGCTACTGAAGGAAAAGGAGTTATTTGAGATACTCGACATAAAACATTATCTTGGATGCCTAAAGTCTTAGCCAGTAAAGAACTGATTCCAACAGTATTATCTTCCAATTCAGATGAATAGTTTGCGATCGAAAAATAAAATACATTATTTTCGCAGTCAACGAGTTGCACACAAGTCTAAAAAGTTAGTAAAATAAGTGTTTTCTAAAAGAAATATTCAAATAAATTACTTACACCAGTCTTTAAAAATTTTAAATTCGTGTTGACATATAGGAAACAATCCTTTAGAACCAAATGCTTTAAAATTAAATTTCGTTCAAACATTGTTATACTATCATCATAGAAATTCAATACGATATTTAATTTTTAATTTATATTCTCTAGTTTTACCAAAACAAACATTGAGAACTTCAAATCTTGAAAAGTGAGGTTAGATTAACAGCTGACTGTCTGACATATGCCTTCTGTCAATAGATTAGTAGAATCGCCACTAGAGTACGTACTTGGCCAATAAAAAGGCATAAAATTACGGAAAATCCTAACTGATATTTTAAATAAAAACCAACAGCGTTGCCGGACTTCGGTTTATAAATCAGTTATGGGTATTGTTTATTTATGAAAATCGGTCACTAATCTATTTTTACTTGCCTGTCTGTTTACAGATAAGGAAAGTATAGCAATTATATATAGTATTTTGATACATATTTTGAAATAATCAATCGAAAATAATATGTAAAGTTATTATAATATCGTTTTTTACCAAGTCAATAATTAAATAGCGAAAAAATGGTTACACACGTTGCACAGCTGAAGATTTTGATCGAACAAACAATATCGATTTTTCGAGAAAAAAAATTAAGTTTTATCGCACCTATTAATAAGGTCCATTTTAATTTAACGAAAAGTTCGAGTACCTATATCACGAAAATTTAGAGATGTACAGTAACAAATCCATAAATGTACTCAGTACTACACTGTACATGTACGGATTTATTATTGTCCATATCTTCCATATTCCAGAGCAATGCAGAACTACCTGCAACTGGAACCTGGAGGAGTTATACCCAATCCTAGATTTTCCTTTAAGGACGCCCTCAGTCAGGCATCTTGACCATAAACGGTTTATGAAAAAATATGGGCCTACGCTTTTTAATATGTAGTCAAAGTATTATGAGGAATTATAAACTATATATCGAAAAAATCTATGTATACATATTAAATGTAGGTATTTTAAATACACGAGTGATTCCAAAACTGAAAAAGGAATAGGAGCAGAAGTTTTCGACCAAAAGCAAATAGTTGACATATCAATACTGCCGTACTAAGCACAGAAGCGGTAACTATAACATATGCAGTTACCGCTTCTGCGCTTAGTACGCCAGAATAAATCTGAGCACTACCACGATCCCAGCCCCAGCAGAAATGATCGCTCTAGACTTGGAAGCGAACGAGTTAATTCATTTTTCCCTGCTGACAATAGTATAAAACTTTTACTCGGATAACCAGGCAGCTCTCGCAGGCCGTAAGCTCCAACCGAGTTGACTTAAAGCTTGTTAGGAACTGTACACAAACATCCTTGAGTAGGTACCTCGGGGATCGGAACAAAATTACTTTGACCTGGTTTCCCGGATATATATACAGCGGTGTGGAGGGCAATAAAAAGGCCTAGGGTTCATATAAGGCTACAATCATTCCTGGGCATTGCAAAAGGAAGCACAGTCAAAAGGAAGTATCTCAATACGAACAGGGGGTGAAATAATCATGAACTGAGGAGATGTCCCAGAGGGTTAACTCATTCAAAGACATTTATACCCAACGACCCCTACTCAGATCCGGGAATGGAGTTGGAAAGATCTCACGGGACTGATGATAGGACATTGTTCTAGTAACTATTCGAGAATAGGTCTGCAACAATGATTCTGCAGCGTGGAAGCCAAATCCGCAGAGCATATATGTACCTGCTCGGTTTTGGAAAAACAAGATTCTAAACAATCAGATTCACCCGACTGGGGCTCATCGACTTTAATCAAGTTACACCCTATTCAATCATGGCCTTCATCGTCTGGCCTCATATGGGGGTAACACTTGTACGGCGAACTATATGTTAGATATTAGCCGCAATAGATCCATATGGGACATGGAACAATTTTTGTTCAATATGTAGGATAATTATTTGGCCCTAAGGCGTAAAATATTACATAAGTACCATCAAAAATAGGTACACATATTGCATGTTTGGAGAAGTACTATAAGCTGGTTCAGGAAAAGAGTGTAGAGCAGCATTAATATTAACAACAAAACACCCGTGTATTTCGCTTGAACAAATTGAAGTCAGCAGATTAACTAAAAGAATAATAAATACTTCAGTATGCTGATTCCAAAACAACTGACAATAAAATTGTCATAAATACTACTACGTCTCTTTAATTTCTGTGTTTTGTTTTTTAGATAAAGTGAGATACGGATATTACCGAAGACTGCATATCTGTATAAAGCACAAAAGGGAATTAGAAACCACACAGAAAAGCGCTAAATGCTAGTGGTGCTGAATGATGATTTATATCAACAAACATTAAAAAATACTTGTAACAAAAATAATAACTCCTCACTTAGATGACCGGTATATAATTTCGATTCCTTTAATGTAAGTCGCTGCCGTGAGAACGACGTCACATTTTGAGTCTCCAAGTATTTATTATTTCCGAATTTTCAAATTATTTCTATAACTTATTTCAGATAATTCTGACCTTTCGAATTTCGATTAGCGATCTACGTGATTATATTTAATTCACAATTTTCGTAAAAATATATTATAAATATTGTAAAGAGTTGTTTTTCAGTGTTCTTCTGGAAAATAGTACATTAAAGTGAATCTTTTGTTGAATATATTTTCCTTGGAGTCGTATAACATATAATAATCGAAAATCTTCCAAAGTCCTATATAACCATATCCAAAAATACAATTTCCTGGCATTTATAATTAAAATTCCGGACATTTATTTAAAAATCCGGACAAAAAAATAAAACCCCCAACGTATGAAATAATTAAACTCAAAGTTTTATTAAAAAAAGTATATACAGAACTTTTTATATGGAATTTAAGTATAGTATTCCTTAACACGTTTGATGATTTTCCTGAGAATTCCGGACAATTTATAATTCCCGGCGCATTCCGGACAAAACGATAAAATTTCGGACATGTCCGGACTTTTCCTGACGTCTAATTACCCTATATATAACAATTCTGTGATTTATGACTCGATTGTTTTGAATATGAACAAATATAAATAAATCCTATCTATTATAAAATAAGTGAGACAATGACTCAAAATCAATTTCACACACATAAAAAAAGAATTTGAGTCATATTATTTAAGATGACTACATTATAGCAGTTAGGATAGACTTTTTCAGTTATTTCGTATCTACTAAAATGCTTATGAAATCTTCGAGAACATATACTTGAAGAAGTATAAAATGGAAATTATTGGGGCGATATATTATTTGTTTTCAACTAATTAAAAAATGTTTTCTTGGAATTATAAATACAAACAATATTTAAGAAAGCATTCAGTTTCTCATTTGAAGGATTAGGGTAAAATTCCAGGGATTGGGGATCCAAAGTACGAGAGGTATAAAATCTTTACCTGCTCAAAATATTCGGCAACACTGTTGCTCGTTAGAAGTTAACCGTCGTTTGACCGTTCAAGTTGACAAGCTTTATAACGATTTTTCATGTGCTCTTTTAATAATTTTACAAAGTTTTACACCACAGTTTTATTAATTTAATAAAAAAGTAAGTATTTATTTTACTACTGTTCATTTTGATTATTCGCAGAATCTGAAAAAAACTCCAAACAAATCCGCATTATAAACTTTGAAGCTTTACCTCCATTTTATATTTTTTTGCAAATTCTTAGTTTTAAGATAAATTAAGAATTATATTTTCTGGTTATTATAGTTTGTTAGATTATAAGTTTCCAAATGCATTTTTTTTACTATAGAAAAAAAGGCGCTAAACGTGTTCCAATATAATAACACACCCCCAGCTACATTGTTTATAATATGATGATTTTATGGCCATACTCATGTTTTTTTCCTTTAAATACGTTCTTGATATATTAGTAAATTAAATGTTAGATAGTTAACAATCGAATTATTGAACAATTCTACCTATATAAGGGTTGCAATTTTTACTGGCTTTCGAAATTATATACTTTCTGTATGGTGTAAAAATACTGCAAGAATACACTTACCTAGGTAGTAGTCAAACCTAAAACGTGTTTATTGTACCTACCTAATTCTACAGTAAACTACTGTGAATAAGAACATTAGAAATTATATCTTTAGAAAATTACATTTGAACATTATTAAAAAAAATATAAAATCAATCCTACCCTAAAAACTTTTTAATTTACTATATAAAAAACACTTGAAGAGATAATTATTATACCTATATGAAACAATTTCATAAAATATCCTACCATAGGGTGACCATACATGTACATCATTTCACTGTATTGTACATAATTTTCAGTGTGTCAATCATTTGATCTTGTACAACAAAATGAGTGGGACCCTCTGTCGTTATTTATGGGGCCCACCAACGAATTTTTTAAATTGTCTAAAAACTACAAAAGTTTTGAGTACCTACCGCTTTCTTGTTCAGGTTTACTATGTAGGACAGGTATTCTACTCACCAGTCCAAGTATATTGTTAGGATACTAGACATCTGTCTGTGCATCCCTGCCTAACAGTCACTCTACCCTACTTAAACAGAATCAATTCATTTATATGAGCTTTTTTGTAGGATATTTAGTAAACTCTTTATTTTTTGTAGCATTTTCGTTAAATAAAATACTATGTGAAGTAACAGTTTTAACCATTTTGGGTTACACATGGGTAATATGGTATTATGTGAGTAATACTTATTTCTTTGGTGTAGAAACTGGTTAAGTAAGATGTACACCAACTAAATTCAGGATTCTGGAATCTTCAATCTGTTTATATCATATCATTCTAAAAAAAATTTGAGCCCCTCTTCTTTTGCCCTAACACTTTCATTGCTCTACTCTCTAAGCCTGCACATGTGTGGTACCCACAGTACTTTTGTCTTTAAAAATACAAATGTAGGTTTACTTTTATAGAATTTGGTGAACTGGTAAAAAAAACAAAATGTGCGAGACTCGTTGAGGGCACCCAGTTATAAAAAAATGGAATGCATATCCAGTGCTTTTTTGATAAAAATACCCAACAATTTTTTGCAAAGTTATACTTTCATCTCTGTTTTTATAATAATTAAGTTAAACACTGTAATTCTTGGCTAAACCAAAATATTAAAAATAATAAACAACTAAAAAAATTCTATGGTAACAAAAGTTCGATCGAAAACTATAATCTTCTTGTAAATTCAACTAATATTTCACTAATACACAGTTTTAACAACTAACCTGCAACCAATGCTTAATATGAATAAATTTCAGAAACTGCCACCTATTTCAGTTACTTATAAGTCTTGAATGATCTTATCTAATAATTTAATTTGAAAATTGAAATAAAACATTACAGTAATACTAAGATTTAGAATAAAAGGTTTAGATATAGATAGAAGTTTACATTTTATTGAAAAATATTTGACTTTATTATTTAAATTTCTAATATCTAAAGGCAACATATTATAGATTCTTGGTGCAAGATTTTTTGAACATCTCTGAATCGCCTCTCTTTGACAGTAAGGTATAGTACAAGCAAGAGATATAGTGTGACTAAAGCCAGCCGGAAACATACAAAGAAAACTAAATTAGTAGAGGAGCATTCAAGAAATTGAGTATACTTATTTTTTTTTACTTCCCTGGATAAAAGGAAAGTATTGTCCGCCATCTGTTGTCTGATGTCTGTCTGTTGGCGCGATAGCTCAAAAACGTCTTAAGAACTTAAAATTTTGTATGCAGGTAAGGCTTCCTCTTGGCTCAAAACCGGTTATACTTCCGGTCAGATATATACAGGGTGAGCAGTTAAAAAACATTTTTAAAAGTCAGCAGATTTTGACTAAAATTGGTTTCTGATAAAATTGGTAGGTATCTGATCAAAAATAACAGATTATAAATTACTTTTTAAAAAATCCAAATGGCTTCCCTGTTTTTACAATTTATACAGGGTGTTTTTAAATGGTATGCTAATATTGTAGGGTGTGATATCTCAGGTCATTTTATGAAGAAAAATTCATGTGAACATATGTCCGCAATGGCTTCAATTTTTTGCTACAGGGAGTTAAAAATTTGTTTTTTAAAGAGATATTTTTTAATATCTCTGAAAATAGTTTAGATATAATTTTCAATTTTGGCATGTGTTAATAGGATATAAAACCACATATTTTATTTATTTATTTACGGGCAAGCCCATTTCAATTACAAATTACAATTATAAAAATTAATTAAAATATCACAAATAGTTATGGTGCTGTTGCACAAAGACATCATACATGTCATTCAAACTAGAAACATTTAAAATAATAAAATAATAACATAGGTTAGTCGAAGGTTAAAATAGAGAAAACACACAGTAAAACATTAACATTAAAGCTCAGTATTACGTAATTGAGTTTTGAATGATGAAAATGGAATATTGAACAGCCTGAGATCATTGTGCAAGTTAGCTAATCTAAGCATTCTTGGAATGCAGCTGTTAAAAGGCCTGGTTTGATCTATAAAAAGGTACACAAAATGTTTGCAGTTGCCTAGTTAAACGAGTTTGAACAAGATTTATTTTTTCAAGAAGTTCAGGACAATTACTTCTACTATTTATAATATTAAATAACAAACTAAGGTCACTTTGTTTTCGCCTAGTTTCCAAGGAGGGGATGTTCATTTTAGTTAGAAAATTTATTTTATTGCTCTACCAGTGGCGTCTCTGCAAACATGTCATCTGATATTTTCTACAAAAAAAGTAGTACGCCACAGAGATTTTTCCATGTTGATATTTTTACTCATTTGACTGGTCAGTTCTACATCAATACGCCATCTTGTATTTTTCTCGCCAGCCGCTCGGTTTTAGATTAAAATAATTAAAATTATTCGTCAATACTGCAAAATGAAGAAATTTTAATTTAATTGATAAACGATAAGATAAACGCCACTGGTGAAGCAATAGAATAACTTTTTCTTCTAAAGTATGTGGTTTTATATCCTATTAACACATACCAAAATACGGCGAAAATCTCAATGTCCATGGTATTCAGCAATACTATCTATGGCGTATACTTTTTTAAATTGTTTCGTCCGTAAAACTTTCAGAAGTTCTTCTTTCTTATAGCTGTCTTGAAAATACAAATTATTGTCCATTAGAAAATTTTGTATATCCGCTTACGCCATCGTGTAGAATGTACTCCTAAACAATCTGCGTCTTGACTAACTCGTCGGCAATTAAAACAATTCTTACTGAATTCAGTGCAGGTGGCCAGAAATACAACCGGCAGGAGCGGACTAGGTTTGTGAATCAATTGTCGCGGTCTTTTTAAAACATATAAAACAAACCTTTATATGTATTAAAAGCTTAAAAAACCTTGCCAGCTTAAATCCCCCTTAAATTAAACATTTAAAACATCTTTAATGTCTTAAAATGCAAGTAAATTAATTTTTTATAAACAAATTAGACATAAATACAAGCTAATTTGTTCATAAAAAAATTAATTAACTTGCATTTTAAGCCAGTAGATTTTTTAAATGTTTAAAACAAGGGGTTGATTTAAGGGTGATTTCCAGCCCGGCAAAATATTTTGAGACATACATTAGGTTGAGCACATGAACATTATCAAATTTATATAAAAAAAAAATTCATTTACTTCCTATTTAAGCAGGCAAAGATTTTTTAAGTGCTTAATATAAGGGCTGGATTTGAGGGTGGTTTGCAGCCCGGTAAAATATTCTGACATATACATCAAATAGAAGGCATAAATACAAGCTAATTTGTTTATGAAAAAATTGATTTACTTGAATGTTAAGACAGCAAAGATTTTTTAAATGTTTAATATAAGAAGTTGATTTAAGGGCGATTTCCAGCCCAGAAAAATATTTTGAGATATACATTAGGTTGAGCACATAAACGTTATCAAATTTATATAAAAAAATTTAATTTACTTCCTTTTTAAGTGCTTAATATAAGGGCTGGATTTGAGGGTGATTTACAGCCTGGCAAAATATTTTGAGATATACATTAGGTTGAGCACATAAACGTTATCAAATTTATATATAAAAATTTCAATAACTTCCAATGTAAGCAGGCAAAGATTTTTTAAGTGTTTAATATAAGGGCTGGATTTGAGGGTGATGTCCAGCCCGGCAAAATATTCTGAGATATATATCAAATAGAAGGCATAAATACAAGCTAATTTGTTTATAAAAAAATTGATTTACTTGAATTTTAAGCTAGTAAAGATTTTTTAAATGTTTAATATAAGGGGTTGATTTGAGGGCGATTTTCAGCCCGGCAAAATATTTTGAGATATACATTAGGTTGAGCACATAAACATCAAATTTATATAAAAAAAATCATTAACTTCCTATTTAAGCAGGCAAATATTTTTTAAGTGTTTAATATAAGGGCTGGCTTTGAGGGTGATGTCCTGCCCAGCAAAATAATCTTAGATATATATCAAATGGAAGGCATAAATACAAGCTAATTTGTTTATAAAAAAATTCATTTACTTGCATTTTAAGCCAGTTAAGATTTTTAAAATTTTTATTATAAGGGCTGGATTTGAGGGTGATATCCAGCCCGGCAAAATATTCTGAGATTTACATCAAATAGAAGGCATAAATACAAGCTAATTTGTTTATAAAAAAATTGATTTACTTGAATTTTAAGTCAGTAAAGATTTTTTAAATGTTTAATATAAGGGGTTGATTTGGGGTGTGATTTCCTGCCCGGCAAAATATTCTGAGATATACATCAATAATTCAAAGATAATTTATACATAAAAAAATTACTTTACTTGCAATTTAAGCTGGCAAAGTTTTTTTTAAGCGTTTAATAAATAATTTTTTGTAATTTAGATACATACAATTTGTGTATATTAAATTAATTCATTGCCCTGCCATGGATTCACGGCCCAGATATGGATTTATGGCCTAGCCATGGATTGATTACCAGTGACTGGAACTCATGGCTGTTGTCACACTGGTGTGTTTACAACATGTAATTATTTCTGGGACACACTGTATAGCGAACAATAAAGGACCCAATAATTGCCTTGAGGTCTACTATGTGAATTTATTTGCATGGTTCTCTATAGGATTTGATGGATGCCGTATTAGCAGAAATTTAATTTCTGTTATTCAGTACTTAACAAACAAAATAAGAAAACTTATATGTAAATTTTATTTAATTCGTAACATTCTAAATAAAAAGTTATTACACTTAATATAAATTGCTCTCATTGAATCCTTAATTAGATATGACATAATTGTATGGGGTGGTTTATATGATAATGCCCTACATCCTTTAAGTATCATTCAAAATTATATCTTAAAGATAATAAATCATAAAAGTCGTTTGTTTTCAACAACCCTCTTATACAACGAAACCACTCCAAACGTAAGATCACTATACTTTCACTCTAGCTGTATGTTCTATTTCAAATTGATAAAAAAAATCTGATGTGTCCAACACATGACTTTCCTATCTAGTTTTTTCCGGTTATTTTATACAACCTATTGCAGCATCTCTATAAATGTTTAGATGATAAACTAAATATATACATTGTCCACATACATCTACCTCGAAACATTTTTCTATAGATATTCATTGAAAACGAAAATACTGAAAAATTTAAATTTAGCACTTTTCCATTACGGTCCATTTTAGAAAAATCATGTATAAACAAAAATTATAGAGATCGATATCGCAAACAACTTTTAGTTCAACAATTTTCATAAAAATCAGAATTTTGCACATTTTGTCAAATTTCTCGAATACGGACCATTTCAGGAAATTTTGACATAAAACAAAAATTATAGATAATTATATTAGAAGTAACTTTTATTTGAACAATTTTCTCCTCCAAACATAAATAACAGATATATTCAATAAAATATAAAAACAGCCTCCCATAAAGTACCCCCCTAGATGTTCCGACTTTGTCCAAAATCTAATCATTTCACGTCAGGCCGAAATAAACCTTAAGTTTAAAATTTAATGTTTTTTTATTTATCCGTTTTTGAGTTTTCTTCAAAATTCGAAATTTACACATTTTCTCAAATATCTCGAATACGGTCCATTTTAGAGAAACTATGTATAGAATAAAAATTATAGAGAATTATATTACAAACAACTTTTGTTTGAACAATTTTTATAAAAAAATATTTTTTTTTACATTTTGTCAAATTTCTCGAATACGGACCATTTTAGGAAAATTTTGTATAGAACAAAAATTATAGATAATTATATTATAAGTAACTTTTATTTGAAGAATTTTCTTCGCCAAACGTAAATAACAGATATATTCCATAAAATATAAAAATGACCACCTATAAAGTACCCCCCCAGATGTTCCGACTCTGCCCAAAATCTAATCAGTTCATTAGACGCTGGAATAAAGCTTAAGTTTAAAATTTGGTGTTTTTCTGTGTATCGGTTCATGAGTTATGCGACCTACAGACACACACACACACACAGACATCATCGCGAAAATAGTCAAAACGGATTCAGGGGACCTCAAAACGTAAAAATCCGTCGAAAACTCGAGGTCGAATAAAATCATGATTCCTATACTTTCCTTATATCTGTATACAGATTTAAATATGATGGAAATAAAAGATTAATTTCTTCAATTGGGCCAAAAGTATACAACTCTTTAAGTGAAAATAACAGACAAATAAAAAACATAAAAACCTTTTCTAAAGCAATCAGAAAATTTATATTTGATAAATATTTATACCTCTCAAATTTGTTATAAATATCTAGTCTTATATATTTATGTCCTTTTAATCATCAAATGTTTAGTTTATAGGTATTGTTAATTTTATGTAGTTTTAATCATTTCTATTGCACATACAGATGTTTTTGCATCTAGGTGCATATTTTATTGTAAATTTATTTAATTTTGTATTATAAAGTGTTTATTCTTCTTAAATAAATAAAATAAAAAATATGACATCCAGATTATAAAAATCGCAATGCGTTACCGTTTCGATGATGGTGGGTGGGGTTTTCCTCACCTATAAGTCTAATGGCATCATCAATCATCTTCAAGTCGCCCTGGAATGCCACAGCAAATGATAATAATAGCTGTCCCTTTCTCTATACAAGTCGCTCAGTCAGCTTCGAGGGTTGAAATTTACTCCTAAGGGGGTGAATTAGGGAGAATATTATTTCATAAAAAGGCTGTTTTGAGTGTTAAACTGGAGTTTCTAAATAACAGTAAAAATCGAAAAATAACACAATTAACACAATTTCAGAACCAGAAATGGCCCCGTTAAAATCAAGTCATAGCAACATTCTTCCCAATTTTACGCTCAAAAATGCAATTTCTACAAGAAGCAAGTCGACTGTAATCGGTCCCAAACAAGATGGCGTGAGGAGCAAACGGAAAGCGGACTGTTCTCCATCCAAAGAAAACAAAAATAACAAAAGAATTGCATTTGGTGAAAGAAATACCAACATTGCAGAAATTGCAAAAAATAAATTAATAGAGGATAAAGACAAGAAAACAACAGCTGTGAGAAAAGTCACTACACACATGAAAATACTTCCATCAGTTAAAACAGTCATTAGGGCCAGACAAAATCAAAATGAAGCACCACATGCTCCTGGACACAAGGTTAGTTTGAAATACCTAAATTATTTTCTCCAAACTTCTGGTTTTATTGGTATAAAATATCTGAAACAATTTTAAAAACTATTACAACTGGAAAAATAAAAAAAATGTATAGATTGAGCTTGCTGAGTATACCAGGTAACAATAGAAATACCAACCATATTCCATCTTAAAAGCTTTAATATTTATATCAGAAAATTAAATACATTAATTGTCCATTTTTAATTCAACTGGTAAAGCTTGATTGAATATGTTATCATTAGAAAACCAAAACAAAAAAGATAAAATTAAAACAAATGGGATTAGTAAAAAAAATTGTTTCATAATAGTCATAAACCATTCATATTTTATAATAATTAAATTTTTATTGCCTGAAGTAGTCCGTCTCTGTTCCTAATCTACAATTGTTACACATTAGAGACATTTCGAGGAAGGCATGCAATCAAACCGTATATCTAGGAATTAGCTAAACACACGTAGTTTAATGAGTACCTTTTGGAACTAACATTGAAATATTGCAAGAAACACTTTAATCAATGAAATTGCAGGTTTTATTATTTCAGATATTGACTAGGCAATCCATAAAAACGGTAATACCTAATCAAACTGCAATAAAGCCTAAAGAAGTACTTAAAGAAAGTAATAACAAATGCAACAAAAGACTTAGCAATGAGTTTGAGAAGACTGAAGACACACTATATTCTACTGCATTGGAAGACGCGTAAGTACAAAAATAGTATATACTAGGAGGTCGCAGGATAATTGGTGCTAGGATTGGTGCTATAAAATTTTAATTGCTTTTCATTCAAAATTATAACATTATCATCTTCAGTATACTCTCCTTCACAATCCCTATACCACTCCATGTGAATTTATCATTTTCCATAGCAGTGCTGTTAATCATTTCTTGAAAGCAAGTTTCTGGTATCAACCATTTTTCTTTGACAGATCTACTATCTCAAATTTGATTCCTTTCAGTGCTGATTTGACCTTGGATAATAAAAAAAAAATGTTCATGAGGCGAGATCCAATGATTAGATTGGATGTTCTACTACAGAGATCTAAATACTTGTATAGATTGTCTGCATGATTGTTTAGTGTCTAGATGAAGAGACTATGACTTTGTTTAGTTAAAATCTGCCTAACACTTTTTTGATTCATACGAATTCAGCAACAGCTCAAATACTTAACATATGGTTTTTCTGCATCTTTTTAATATTTGTGTCTGTTTTTATTATTATTATTAAGAACAGGCAAGCGACATAGTCAATGAAGCTGCTCTTTTAGTTAGTGATAGAAATTATTCTAAATTACTACAGGACATTTAACACTTAATATACTATAAACTATAATGAATAAAATTATTTCTTTCTTCTTTGATTTTTTTATCCATTCTGGCCTTGAACTGGTTTATGTTCTGGACTGAGACTTTCCTGGAGATATACAGTTCTGTTTGTAATAAAATTTTTTCTTTGTGGTTTATCTAATAACTTTGAGTTACCTCTCAAGGTTCTTGATGTGCTGGCCTGGAAGATGTTATTACAGGTGTAATATCCACTGGTCCACTTGTAAGTTTCTATCATTTTAGCTTTTTTTAATGGAATTTTTTATACAAAATTTTTTATTAATACTAATTCTCCATAATTTTTTTAAAATTTAATTTTTTAACTAAAAAATTAAATTAAATGGATTTATAAAATAATTAATTTTATCTAATAACTTCGAGTGACCTCTCAAGGTTCTTGATGTTATCACAGGTGTAATATCCGCTGGTCCACTGGTAAGTTTCTATTAAGTCTCCTCTAGTTCTTCTATCCTTTAAATTTGAAAGTTGTAGTTTGGCTAGTGGATCACACTACTCATTGTTTTGTAGGGTTGGTGGTATTTTGCTGACTCTCCTTTGTACTTTTTACTCTTTCCAGTAGTTCAATGTCATTAACAAAGAGTTGCAAGCTCGTCTGCAACAGGTCTCGTCGCTCATTAATCACTCAAAAACTAGTCAGTAATAAACACTCGTTTACATTGATGTGTTGCTCTCCTTGAACACATGGACATGTTTCCGGCGAAGCACTGATAGCAATAGAGAGAGGAGTTGTCTTGGGACACGCTAGTGTTCCATTTGGCCTTGACGCCTGCACCGTTTATCAGCAGAACGATCGGTCCGGGTGTTTTTAGTCTTATCATATAGCAATAGAAGTTAAATACATTAAAGTTAATCTACCCTTAACTATTGTAAATAAATAAATAAATGAGTACGTAATTTATTTACACATTACTCATTGTTTTGCTATTTTCCTGTAATTTGAGTTAATCTCCGCTTGAATTACGTGAATTATCGGGCCTACTAAGTAGAATTTAATTCATTTTTTCTTCCGTTTCTTTTTTCTTTAGGGCCAATGTATTGTTTCATTCATATTTAAAAATATTTTTCTTTTAAACATTTATTTTCATAATTTTTTAATGTTGAATGTTTTCAGAGTGGGTCTCAAAAAAATATTAAAATTTTAAAACTCTTACAAGTAGGTAGTAACTGTACTTAACTGCAAAATTAACTGGACATTTGATTTTTGTCCCGCAAATTATTTTGATTTAAATTTTTTTATCAATATTTTTCTGAAAAAACATGTTAATTTTTCGGTTGTGTATAATTAGGTAATGAAAGGTAGTGTAAAACTACCCTCAAATAGAAAATAATTATCTAGTCGAGTAGAGTTGTTATTTTAATCATCATAGTCAGTTATCATATTTGCTTTGTCATCCTTACCAGTAGCATCAAGTTGTTTACGAATAAAATGCAAAAATTTAATTAATCAAATGTAATTTCAACAGTACCAAGAACTATGGTTTTCCAGATATTGAGGTCTACTCTATTTAAATATATTAAATGCAATGAGGTGAGGTTTATGATGGTAAGTGGGGTTTTCCTCACCTATTAGTCAAATGGAACTATTAATCATCTGCAAATAATAATAATAGCCATCCCTATGCCCCACAAGCTCTGCTTCTGAGGTTAATATTCACTTGTATGTGGGTGAATAGGAATAGTATTATTATTATTATATAATTATTCGTAAACGTCTTTTAGAATATTAGAACATTTGTCAAGTATAAGTATTAAGATTTTACAGTAAATACTGTGACATTTGCGATAAACAATTCTAGTAATGAAACTACCTACTTCAGTGCGAAGAAACGCAATCTGAGATCGTCTAGAAGTTCAGACTCTGATATGACACCATGCGACAAAGATGTCAAGAAAGAGAACAAAATGTCCAGTATTTCAATGGTTGCCCAACAGATGGAGGCTAAATTGAACCTTGGAAATCACTTAGTTCCATCAAATGTGGCCGATTTTGACAAGGAGAACTGGGAAGATATATTCCAAGTTTCAAATTATGCTATGGATATTTTCAACTACCTCAAGGAAAGAGAAGTAAGTTAATATTTAAAGATTGAATGCTACCAAAATCGTTTGTTTGTGGGTGATACTATAAGAATTCAGTTAAATATTCGAGATGTGTTTGTATGATAAAATATATGATTAAAAATTACACAAATACCATGATACGATATAAATATTTAACAGAAAAATAAAACAAACAGATTTAGTATTATCCATTTTTATCTATTGTGTCCTTTAAAATCCATTTTTGCATATTTTAATGTGTAATAAATTCTTATGGCTTACATATTCAACAAATAAGAAAGAGTGAATTGAAAACTGGGGTACAACAAATTATTTTTTTAAAAAACGTGAATAAGTTCGAAATTTTTCAAGGGATAAAAGAAACGATATCATTGTAAGACATGTAGAAACTGTCAAAATAGCTCTAAATAATTAATTCCATTTTCGTAATTTTTAAAACAATCATATTATAATAATAGTTTATTAATCCTTTTAGATCCTATACATGATATAGGATAAGTCATTTACATGTAAAGATGTACAATAATATACATATTTAAATATACAATTTGACAATAAATACACAAAATAAAATTAGGACTGATATGCTTGAAAACATCCATATGACTTTGGCTGTACAGGAGATATTCATGATTGCTATAGGGGCATTTTTGGGAAAAAAAGATTTTTAATTAGCATTTAAATAGGCTCAGACTATTAATTTGTTTTAGAGAGGTAGGTAGATGATTGAATAACCTTATTTGACAGTAGTATGAACTTTTTTCGAACATGGTTAAAACATGAGGTGTATGCATAGTAAATTGCCACTACGAGTACTATAATTATGATTGTCCAGGTTACGGGTAAATTTGGAGATGTTTTAACATATATAGCACATTTGAGAATATATATTGCTGGAAAAGTCAGTATATTATATCTTTTGAAAAGATCTCTACAGGTACTTCCAGCCTCTAGATTAAATTAATCTTATTAGACTTTTTTGACAAATAGACTCTTTAACATACTGGTTGCATTTTCCCAAAGCAATATGTTGTAAGCTAAATGTGAATACGCCATCACATAGTTGTCTGATGTTCAACATATTTTTTTAATTGGAGAATTGCATAGTACGCACTATTTAATTTTTTGCAAATGGAGTCAGTATTGGAACTCCAGCTCATATCTGCATTTAAAAGAAATCCTAGGAATTTTGTTTTCATGGACAGTAAGATACAATTATTATTTATTTGTATTTAAAAATCTGTACTTATTCTTGATCTAGAATGGAACTGAACCAGTACTGTTTTGTTGGAGTTAACAATTAATGCATTTCTTGTACGCCATCCAGTAAATTCTCTAGCAACAAGAGAATTTGGAATGAAGTTCCTCAGGTAATACTGTATCATCTGCATATATTGAAATGTGAATGGATGAGGTGAAGTTTGGTAAGTCGTTTATGTAAAGGAGAAATATGAGTGGACCCAATACTGATCCCTGAGAAACACCGCGGTCCATGTCCTTTACTTCTGATAAGCAACCATTGATTTTAATCTATATAGGAATTAATCCATTGCAAAAAGTTACCCCTAAAACCTAAAGCAGTTAATTTTCCAATAATAATTGAGATAATATCAATGGTGTCAAAAACTTTAGGTAGATCAAAAAAGAGGGCAACCCACTAACCTTTTTCTGCCCAGCTGATTATGGACATAATTAAAAAGGCAGTAGTAGCACTTTCTGTTGACCTATCAGGAAGAAATACATACTGTTGATCTATAATAATTCCTAGGGTTTCGAGATAACATGGAGGTCGGCAATATCAAGTTTATTTTGAATGTTAACCAGCGGTGGTCTGACATCAAAATGTTATCAGACACTTGCCACTTTAGAATTGATTTATAGATACCTGTTGTGGATAAAGTGATATCTATTAGTATTTGACTGCAAGAATTTAAAAATGTTGGTATAGTACCTTTATTTAAAATACAAAGATTTTTGGTAATTATATAATCATAAAGTGACTTGCCACTAACGTTGTTATCCTTGCTGTCCCAACTGAGGTGATGAGCATTTGAATCGCAACCTATTATCAGCACAAACTTCTGGTGGCGTGGTTGCGTCGGAGGGGAGTATGCAGATGTCAGAATCAACGTTTTTTCCCCTCTTGATGGCATATTCCATCCTAATCACAGTTAAATTGGACGTGGAAAGGTGCGCCATTGAGTGGGCTTTATATTTCCTATGAATGTAAATGGCTGACCTAGATTGGGGGAGTTGGTTGGCGGTGGTAGCCTTTACAAAAGATTTTGACAGCCGTATGCATAGTCGATCGCCAGCGACTCGCCAGAGATTCATTTCGGCGTATCGCCAGCGATTCACTGGCGATCCGCCGGCGAAAGCCCAAAAAGGTGGCGACTCGCCGGAGATTGTCACCGGAATGTCATTTCACGCAAGTTTTCATTTTCTTTTATAGGGATTATCACCGGTATCTCTCGCATTTTATTCATGATTCATTTCTTAAAACTCAAAAAATAATGAACGAATATCAAATTTTTCCCTATAAAAGAATATGAAAACTTGCGTGAAATGACATTCCGGTGACAATCTCCGGCGAGTCGCCAGCTTTTTGGGCTTTCGCCGGCAAATCGCTGGCGATACGCCGAAATGAATCGCTGGCGATCGACTATGCATACGGCTGTGAGAGTTTTTAGGCTTTCTCGCTCTACTTATATGTACCACTGACCAGGAAAATCCTGGTCATTCTCCTATCCATCACCTGGGGATGTGCTCAGTTGGCACTCAACTGCTGGGAACATCCGACGATGCTAACTAATCATATGTGAATATTATTAAAGTCTGTCGAAAGTGATACCAACAACTTTCAGACTAATATTCCGCATTTTTTCTATCTATCACAAAAATGATTTTTCTTTAAGCCTTTTTCGAAACGCCCTATTTAAATGCTTTTGAGAACAGAAAGCGACTTTTTTTGTGCAACTGCATCGAATAAACCTTTTCCCGTGCGACCCGCGACAGCACCGGCACATTCCCGTGCGCTAAGTTAAACGCTAAAATAGTTCTTAATTTAAAAAATAGTTAAGCCTAAAAATAATTTAACGGTTCAATGCAGTAAAATTATAAAAAAAATCGCACAATATCAAAAGGAATAAAATTGTCCTTTGTTCTTTTCCAAATATCCAATTCAATTGTATATTTTTCATATTTTTGCGAAAAAAAAGATCGTTCATTATTTGTCCATGAAAGTCTTTTCCATGCTGTCAAGACTTCCAGTGTTGGGTTGTCATGCGCGCACGGGAAAGACCTAGTTTCTGGACGCGTAAAGAAACTCTTCCGAACACTCAATGGGTCTTATGATTGAACGTTTACGTTATCCGTAACGTACATGTTAGGCTCAGTTTTAACAGTAATTAGGCAAGTTCGTATGATGAAAAACGGTTTCCAACACATTAATGTTATTTTCCGCCTGTTATGTTCTAATTTAACAGTTTTCCATCATACAAACTTGCTTCGTTACTGTTAAAATTCGACCTAACATGTACGTTATGGATAACAGAAATGTTCAATCATAGGACCCAATGCCGGGTAGCTAACATGAACATAATATGCAACTAAATTTACTGAATACGCTTCTGCTAACTACCAACACTTGAAGTCACAATCACGACTGTCCTACTGGGACTAAATCTTAATCTCTGACTGTCCAGCCAAATCCGTCGCTGGCAATGCTGGTATTGAATAAGCTGTCAATAGTCTACAAAAGCATAAACACAAAAAAAAAAACATTTAGAATGAAGACTTCAAAAAAGGAGGAGGTTCTCAATTCGTCACAATACTTATTTTATTACTGTTAAGTGTTGTTTGAACATATGACTTTTCTTGCTTTTTTTTGTATAACCATAATTATATTGTAAGATAACCTCAATAGCCTGTTGTGAAATCAATTAAGTTATTTTTGTTGTATTAATTTGTTTATATGTTTCGGGGGTTTTTAAATTTTTATTTTTCTAGTCTCAATTCCAAGTAACAGACTACCTCGATCGCCAAATATGCCTTACCCGGTGGATGCGATCTCTCCTAGTTGACTGGATGGTCGAAATTCAAGAAAGTTTTGAACTCAATCATGAAACCCTTTACTTGGGTGTAAAATTGGTAGACATGTATCTGACAAGGATGACAGTCGGAAAGGAAACTCTACAACTAGTCGGCGCGGCCGCCATGTTTGTAGCCAGCAAATTTGATGAGCGGATCCCGCCATTGATTGATGACTTCTTATACATTTGTGATGGTGCGTACACGAAACGGGAATTGATAAGGATGGAAATGAACTTGTTGAAAGTTTGCGGGTTTGACTTGGGAATTCCAATTAGTTATAGGTTTTTGAGGAGATATGCAAGGGTAAGTATTTTCAATTCATTATGTATATGTTACAGTAAAAGCATGAACTCTTAGTTAATGTGTACATTAGAGTGGTCGTAAAAAATTAAATTTCTAACGCCTAAAAAAACCTTTCTTTTGATAATTTTTTTTTAACCTCAAGGACAAGTGCCTTAATCCGATTGAAGTTTAAATTTTCATAAAATCGTAGTTATTTATCAAAATATCTCTTAAAGTAGACGGATTTGGGAATAAATCTAAAAATTTTGATTTTATGGAGTTAATGAATTTATTATTGAGAATATATCCATAAATATGAACTTTATGAAAAAATCAAACGAGAGCAATTTTGTAGGAAATAAAATTCTCTACAAAAAAGGTCTCCCGAACTGAGGCTTTAATCGCAGAAAAAATTTTAGTTGGATTCACTCCCTCCTTGACCAAAAACTTAAGGAGGCCATGCACTTCTTTCTTGCTCATTTGTTTCTTTTTATACTAAATGAACTCGAGAGAATCGCGGTTGGTTCTCCTAGCTCCCAGATTGTGCTAATATCCGCGCGTCAACTCGTTGAAAGTCGCGGAACCCGCAAAAATTTAAAAATAAATCTGCCCATTTATAATTAGTTCTACAGCATTATACAGTCGTATTTATTATTTTGGGTTTTGTATTTTTTACGAGTACATACAATTTTGTTTTTATTCTATTACCTGTGGCTTTTTGTCTTTTGTTTTATTTTTTATGGGTCAGATTTCCATATTTCTAGATTATCCTAATGTAGTTTTTTTTTACTTTGTCAATACATTCTGATATAACTACTGTTTCCAAATGTCACTTACCTATTTTCATTTTTATTACTTCATCTATTACAGGATTGAAAAGACTTCAACTTAACACCTTAACTTTTGTACACATTTGGTGTTTTAATTCAATTAAGTAATCCTCCATAAATATGCTCAACACCCCTCATTTCTAAAGGTCACTAATTTTGATAATAAGATGAGTTAACTTTATTCCAGTGTGCTAAAATAACCATGCCAATTTTGACATTAGCTCGCTTCATTTTGGAATATTCTTTGATGAATTATGATACAATCACCATCAGAGATTCAAAATTAGCTTCAGCAGCTTTATATATAGCCCTCAGGATGAAAACCGTTAGTAATTGGACTCCTACACTAGAATTTTATACAGGTAAGAGAAAATCGACTACTTATATCACAAATTTGTAAATTTTGTTAACATTATTTGTAACATCTCTACAGATTCGGAAAGAAAATATCTACAGTATATACTAGTACATATTCTTTAGAATAAAAGAGAACACAAGATGTGACCATATAACTAAGAGAAAGTGCACCATCAACAGTTTAACAACGCAGCTCCATGTTTAGCTACATATATTTTATTTATGAATAGGTGTAGAAAAAAATATTTAACATTAGATATTGTGAAATAATCAAAGTTCCTATTATAGAATTCTTCAAAATTTCGGCTATTGTTGTAATTTGTGATAATTTCAATTTTCAATGCATAAAAAATCTAAAATTTTAATGCTTACCAGGGGGCAATATTGATGTTTGTCTGACAATCTGTCAGAAAGTGTAATTAAATTTATTTATTAAATGGAAACCTGTAATTTTCGCCATGACACGTGATGCTCCGTTTTAGATAAAACTAATCAAATTTATCATGTTTTTATAAAAGTCCGCTCCAGGTGGGAATCGAACCAAAAACCTTTGGTACACCATTCCAACCACTAGAGAACAGGAGGGTCACGCATCTTGCAAGCTAGTAACTGGTAGACAGATTTACTTTGTTATGAAGAGAATATAACTGTTGCCAAATGGCATGTTTGAAGGAGTTGCCACCAGCTAACTCTTTTTACGTTATTTATTTAAAAAGCACAAAGGCAGGAAAGGCAAACTTTGCTGGGGCGCATTGTGTAGATGTCAATCTCATAGGTACAAAAATATGGTCTACAAAGAAAAATTGTCAGCACTAATTTTTTGTGTACACCTCAATATAGAGTTGTGTCAATTAACAAATATAGATTAACACAAAAATTGTGTGGCTGTCTTTTTTTCTCATAGGCCCATTTTTTTTACCAAATGTGACATACCTCTACATTATTTGCATGCTCTAGTGGCAACACTACATCTAGTCCTCATTTTAGATAATTATTATTTTATTGTAGAACGACCAAGCATCAGAAAAACATCTTGGTCATATATTTTCTATTTATAAACAGAAATATGATTGATACATTTTTAAAGTATTCAATTTTGATGAATAAATTAGATTTATCTTGTGAAAACTGAAAATTGAAACCCATTTCTTATTTTTTAGGTTACAAATTAGACGAATTTAAAGATGTAGTTTTATTGCTCAACTCCTACTTAAGACAGCCTCCAAAATCTCAATTAATGACTGTAAGAAACAAATATTCTCACAAAATATTTTTCGAAGTAGCAAAGACTCCATTCCTTGAAAACTACGCACTCGTGCAGTGATTTCAGGTTGTTTTTTTTTTGTTTTTTTTTTTACTAGACATTATACAATATTTTATTTTTGTATGTAAAATATACACAATGCTAAATCCGATTGTATTGTGTATATTTTAATTATAAGCTGTGTATTATTTTTATTCAATTCTACTTACATTCATAAGAAAATATAATATAAATTTTTACTCGCGTTTTTATTGTGTTTTAGCAATTTTTGTAATTGAAATATTGTGAATGCTTTGCATGAATTTCTCCGATATTTTTTAGTGTTGTTAATTTTTATTATTTTTTAAATAATTTATTGGAGGATTAAATTGTTAAAAAAATCATTTAAAACACGCCTAAAAATTAATTAAGATTTATCTATTTGACCCTTCAATTTTCTTAGGAAAATTCGTCCAGTTTAATTTTGCATGTAAAAATTGTGTGCACAGAAAAGTTTTTATTTGAAACTGTAATATTGTTGCTCCCAAGGGCTTATTCTTTAATTTTAAATTAATTGACTGGCAATAAATGTTTGCATTTTGTTATTTGCGATTTATTTAATTTACCATAATGAATTTATCTAAACGAGAAAAAATGCATTTCTACAATACAAAATAACAGTCTGTTGAAAAAATGTAGCAGATTTTTAATTTTAATTGCCACCGACTTCTAAGGAGACAATTAAGTTATTTCCCATGCAAAAGAAAGCCATGAACATGATAGAAAATATATTTATTGTGAGCAATGTTAACCTGTCTTAAAAAAATGGCATTTGTCACATTTGAGTTTGTAATTATTTTCCTTTTCATACCCATTTTATTACTTGAGTTAATAAAATGTCCCTTATTTTTGCCTCGAATAAAGTAAAATAAAAAGTATGGTAACAACATTTATTTGTACTTTTTAGCACAGGAATAAAAATATTCCCATAAATATTTTTCTATAAAAATAACTATATAAAAAATTATATGTTGTTAAATCACTTCTACAAGTTATTATTCATTATTGATCCTAATACTACTGTCAGTGCTTTCTTTTCTTTTTTGTAATCTACAGCATTTTATACATGGGGAGTTTCCTGGACGCCAACACGCTAAGTGGTAACAACTGCCACATTTATCACATCTAGATACAGTCCTTAACTGCCACGGAAATATCACTTCATCTGCTTTGCAGCGTTCGCAGAAAAATCCTCTGGCCAAACATAGCTGAAAACCAAATAAATAATAAATACATTTTTATATACCTAAAAAAATACAGCATGAAAACGTTTAGAATGGACATTAACAACAGTAAATGGCAACATTGTACTTAGCGAAATGATGAAAGTAATCCCTTCTATTTCATACCCATAATCCACAACTTTCTTGAAAGAAATTAGTGCTGTTGTCAAATTTCTTCATTGTGGTAAAGTAGGGGTTTGTCTAAAGAAAACATGCCAACACGAGGGCTGGTGAAAATTATACTACAAACATCAGATAATCGTGTCACAGCAAGTTGAAAATTTTTGTGATGTAAAAATAATATCTTAAAAAAAGTGCGGGAAGCAAATAATATTAATTTGATGGGAGTTGTGTAAAATTGAAGACATGATATTGTAATTTTAAAAAGAGTTACATGAAGCAGTGCAAGAAATTTAATTATGTTTGGAAATAAATGAGAACACCAAATATACAGTGGCGTAACTAGAATGTTTTAGTCCTGCCGCTAAATAAAATAGTGTTGTCTCAAAAAAACGAGTTAAATTTATTTATTTATTCCTTATAGAACTAAGCAAACAAATATTATTTACATGGAACATAAAACAACTAAAAAATTACAATAAGTAGATAATTAACGAAGCTGCAACAATACCATCCAGTTTTGAACCCAATTTATACTTAGTATTTTTAAAATATTTCTTTTTCTGGTTAGTTCATGCAAATTTATTGATCGCATCCTTAAAGATCGAATTTATTAGCAACTGCACTTTCGTTGGAAATTAAACAAATACTTTAAAATTTCTTGCCCTATATTACTTCTCAGATAGTCTTCTATCAATCCAATTTATTGGCAATTTTTTTGGATAAATGTATAAAATTCAGTTTATGGAGTTCGTAAGAAGGATTATGAACTAATTCGACACACATATGCACTTAATTGCTTCATTAACAAAGAGTATCGGGATTTAAAAAAATGTTACATCCACTTGCACCATCAATTGTATTTAATTAATAATAAATTGAGCAAGATTTTTTATTAAACTGCCGACTTCAAAGTTAGGATCCATAAAAACTCCAAAGAAAAAGATTATGAAACAATTTCAGAATACTTGGATTCTGTTAAAGGACCCCGCACTTTTTACATTGATTTTGGGTAAGTACTAGCAGAATTTGTTCAAATTTAAAAATATAATATATCTCAACCACTCTTTAGCAATTCTTGTTTTTTTTATGAAACATGTCATGTATTACACTTCTATATAATTTGTTCATGCTTACTTAAACTTTGCAAAATACATTATACAGCGTTTTCAAAAATTTAGGAATATCAGTTATTGAAATATGGTGCATTTTACATGTACCTATTACCATAGTAAGAATATGACTTCTGACCATTTTTTGTTTCATTTCATATCAAATAATTTTTATAAGTAATACAGGGTGTGATAGAACTGCATAAACTACTAAGAATTACAAAAACGCATTTAACAAAAAATTGGTATACTTAAAATATTGTAGAAAGTCTTGAAACGAATTCAGTTTTGCTTGTATTATAATCATAGCTCTGTTTATCTAACCAAGTCCCGTTCTACGCCTACTTAAATGTAGAAATAATTCTACTAACTGACTTGAATGAATGTCTAAGAAGATATATTCTAATTGAAAAGCCCTTTCTGATTTTTATATAGAATACACATGTCAACTTATCACTTCTAAATATAATAATTCTATTTTTGAGGAAGTAGGTTAATTTTAGTTAAATTAAAACAAAAAAAACTACACTTTTCTTTGTTTATTAATCAGAATAATTACAAATGGATTGTATAAGATAAAATTAAATAACAGCTGAATTATCATGTTAGAATGAACACGTTGTTATCTTTGCAATTTCAGACTAGATTTGCTGAGTTTATTTATCCATATCGGATATGCATCTGAGATGTGAATCTTTGATCACGTGATTTAAGGTACGTAAAGAGAGGTAAAAAATCGGATGTGTATATTCAAACGTAGCAATTCTATTTTACATTGTATATTTCGTTCTTTCTTTTTTGGGCTGTCATTAAGACCAATTTTAAAAGTTTGTTATTAGTAGAGCTAGGAATATATGCAAAACGCCATATTTTTGCATATGTTGCATATATATACAATTTTTGATTTTGAATGCATATATTGACATTTTGTTAATTTTTTGGCATATATCTGACGTACTAATTGGCTGGACATATTAAAATTATGAGTTTTGGACCAAAATAATATTTTGTGAAATGCCTTTACAGGTCGATTTCCTAAAATTTTGAAGGATTAACTTTTCCTGTAATAAATTACGGTTAGTGGTGTAGGTACTTGAGAGGATTAAATTATAAACACCTTAAACCAACAAATTTTGCTAAATATCCTTTCAGGTAGTTGTATTAATATCTTCAAATTTCTAAATGACTCAGTTTACTTTCAACTTCATTTCAGTCTTTATTGTTGTGTTAACCAGTGGGAAAATGGCAAAATTAATTTAGTCGTGGGTAAAATCTTATTCAGATTTTGTTGTAGAAGGTGATAACCAGGTGTTTTGTAAAACATGTTCTAAAATTGTAAGTACTTTTTTTATTTTGACCTTTCACAATGGTAAATCAAACGACAGTAAAATATTTCAACTCACAGTTAAAAAAAAAGTAGGGCAGCTTTACAACGTACGCATTTATTTAATTTAATTAAAACTTCAACATCTACAGGAATTTATTTGTTTTAGATTCCATGTAAAAAAGTTTCAAATCGATCAACACGCGAAAACACCCTCACACAGAGATAACAGGAGATGTAGTTACTTACAAATATCGTGCTGTCGTGAATAAGACATATTCTAAGGAACACACTAGGGTATAATATCCGCTGTTGTCATATGCCTATTTCATTATTCTCGTTTTGTTTACAAAATTATTTACATATATTAAAAAAGCTAAAATAATTTAACCTATTTTACTGCAACTGAACCCAAAAAATGTTGAATCATTTGTTATATCAAATTTAACTAAATTAGATATAATTTCACTAAATTAGATGTAATTATTTTCAATAAATTCCAAATCTTGTTAGTGGTATATTGGATATCAAGTATTTTTTTCGAGATGTGGCAACAGCTAGTATTTTGTAGGCGGGGCATATTACGTTGTTTATTGCGAGCTTAGACAACGGAATATAAAATATTCATTCATAATTCCATCAACTTGTTTTGACAGTTGACGTTGTAGAGATTGTTTAGTGTTATTGTTCATCGGATTTTCTCAGTTTTTTCTTGTGAAAGTGATTTTCTGTTATTTTGTTAACATACAAACTTTAAAAATGGTGAAACGGTGCAAAATTTGTAAAAACAAGACAAATTGGACCCAAATTCTTCGTTTCATATGTGAGTATTTATAGGTTAGAATTTACTTATCATAGACGTACCAATTACGAAAAGTATCTTATATATTTTTAAATTATTAGTATTATTAATGTTTTGAATTAACCATGGTTGTCAATTAGCCTTAACAAAGCAGGAGAAGATGCGAAATTTTAAAACTGGTACTGGGAATATTCATAAAAATCTCAAAGTACCTAGTTAATCTTATGTAAAAATCGAATTTGTGTAAAAATTCTGCATTTTTTAATTAAATCTCTTTAAAACAGGTTCCAAAGTGATTCAATTTTATTGAAAAAAGTTTCATAGGTAAGTAATGTTATTTGGCAAAACTTTTGTTTTTAGTACCTAGGCATGTCAAAAAATTATTATTTCACAGTACAAAAAAATCTTGAGAAAACTACAGTTGACTTTGATTAAAGGTTCGCGTTTCCACGGATAACATTTTTACCAAAACATCAGAAAGCATGCAATATTTTATCACAAAATAAAAAAAAAATTTCGTACCTACTAATAATTCAGTACATTAGGATCAATTAAATAAATAAATCACATTAAGAAGCAAAAACTCTAAATATATATTTTAGATCTTTGAAATCCCTTGTTTTAGCGGATAAACATTATTCTATCAAAACAGCAAAAATAATATTTAGCACTTAATTTTAAATAGGTACATTTTTTTACAAATAATTCAGAACATTACTATCAATTTCATAAATAAAAAAAATTAGAAATAAATATTTTACTTGTAATTTTTAGCTATTGCATTCAGGTAAAATTTTTATGAACTATTTTGATAAACACTTAAAACCTAATTTAAAAGAAATAAGGGCCTATTCTGTAAAAATTCCTTTATATTTAACGGCCTTTAAAAATATTGGCGGCCTTTAAAATATTTTCGTATTCGTTAATTTACTTCTGTCATTACTTAAACAGATTTCTTTAAGATAGTTCTTTAATTAATTTTAAAAATCCGTTTAAATAATGACAGAAGTAAAGAAGAAAATATTTTTAAAGGCCGTTAAATATAAAGGAATTGTTACAGAATAGACCCCATACTCTCTTAAAACTATAATCTATGTATTTATAAAGATTATTTACATAGGTCCATAAATACATATTGATTACCTACTTGTTTAGAATTCTATTTTTGTTTTGATATAGAAAATAGGATTAAAACAATTCCAGGAAAGAGGATATAAATTGTTTATTTATAAATAAGGGATTGATTGATTCATTGGAAATACCAACAGTTTACACATTGAGGCAGATAGTTTTGAACATGGATTTTAAAAGAATATTTACATTATTATTTTCTTTGAGTTTTATAGTGTGACGCCTCTTAGTTTTATGTAAAAAAATATGTAAATTTATGGAAAGGGGTGATTTTAGCTATGACCGATATTTCTGTGAAATTTTGAAAATCGTATTTGAAAGAATACATTAATATTATTTTCCAAGAGTTTTATGGCGTGACGCTTTAGTTTTTGTTAAAAAATTATTTAAATTTAGTGGAAGCAGATGATTTTTAGCATAACGTTCATTTTTTATAAAATATTTAGATAACCTGTGCAATTTGTTGAGTAAATAGTAGTTTGTACAACAAAAATGGATATAGGCAATCCACTCGAGTTTTACAGTATATTTTATTCTATGACCCACTAACGAAAATCTACAAACTTAAAAAAAATTGTCCCCAGCCGAGATTTGAACTCGGGTCTCTTACGTGAAAGACAGACGCCGTCTACTTCTTTACCGCCAGATTTATGATTTTAGTTTTAATACTTGGAATTAAATTAGTTTCATATAGTTTGATTAAATTTTAACTTTATTTTAAAATGTGGACGAAACAAAAATAGAAATGCTACTATTTATCTATTCGACACAAAAATAACTCATTTTAATGTATATTTAATCTCAATAACTGAATATACTGACGATTAGTTTGACACAATTGTCACTTATTTAACATTTTAAAAAGAATTGTATTGGGTGACCAAAATATGAATTACCTAGAATAGATATGAAATATATCCGTTTAAATGAATGCAATAGCATACTTTTTCGTGACTTTTATAAATTAGCGACAGCAAATTTTATAGAAATAGTATTATTTCATTTATTTTCGTATATTTTTTAATTAGCTTCAATTTTTTTATTTAGATAACTTTTGTACGGCCCGATTAAACTCTGGTGCATATTAGAAATATATACAAATTCCTATCATCTGTGAAAAAAGATGCCTTTAAAAGTCTTCTAAATTTATATATCGTTGATGAATTAAAAACAACGAATTTTGCAGAAAACATATTTGTACTACTGGTCAATATATCTATATTAAAATACAAAAATTTTTACGGGGTAAAAAAAAATATTTTTAAATAATTTAATTTATCCCGTTTCTGGGGTACGCCAATGCAATTTATTTAAACTCCGCTGCGACTAACAAACGTTTACGGCCTTCAGTCCTGCAGTATATCCCCTCCCTTACCTCACACATCACGTCTTTCCTCTCCTGATCACCAAATTGACTAATTTGATGTTGGCATCATAGATATTCTATTTTATGAATGAGTAGTTATCTCTGCCCTCACATATAGCAAAGCAGAAATCTAAAGATACTCGCAGACAAAGTCAACTTCCCTTGAAACAATATTTAGAATCTGGATCGTCTAGAAGTGAACAAGCTATTTTTAATGAAGATTTATGCAAAGCTTTAGTGACTTCGAATATCCCTTTAATACGATTAAATAATCCAAATCTCCGATCATTTTTGCAAAAATACTGTAAATTTAATATTCCAGAGCAAAGTATATTACGCAAATGTGGTGTTGACAGTTTGTACATTGAGACTCGTGAAAAAATTCGTGAGATTACCATTGGAAACCATTTCTACATTATTGTGGATGAAACAACAGACTCTTGTGGTCGATATATAGCCCATTTAATGATAGGTTCATTACGCGAAGAAATGCAAATTGGTCCATATCTAATCGCTTCAAAGCAATTAGATAAAACAAATAACTTGACAATAACTCGTTTTATCCAGACAGAATTGTCTTCCTTTTTTCTTTTCTTTTTATGAAAACTTAATCCATGTTACATGTTTGGCTCATGGCCTTAACAGAGTTGCAGAAGAAATTAGGTCTAACTTTCCTTTAATAAATGATTTAATTAGTAATGTAAACAAAATATTTCTTAAAGCTCCTCTAAGAACTCAATTGTACAAAGAAAATTTTCCTGAATTACAGATGCCACCGGAACCTGTGATTACTCGGTGGGGTACCTGGCTTAAAGCTGCCTTTTTTTATGCAGATAATTATGAAAAAATTAAAGAAATCATATTTGATTTTGACGATTCATCTAAGGGAATATCTAATACAAAGAAGTTGTTTCAAAATAACATATTACCAAAGTGTTTTTAAAAAATTATGCATTTGTACCCAAAATTATATTAGATTTAGAACAAAAAAATTTACCTTTGGTGACTTCCGTAAATTTAATTAAGACGTTTGAATCAGAGTGTAAAAATGTCCGGGGCGATATTGGAAAGACGATTTTTCATAAATTTTCAAATGTAATTTTAAAAAATGAAGGATTTATTGTTTTAAGAAACCTTGCTAATATTTATTCTGGTAACTTTGAAGATATTAATACTATTCATCCAGATATTTCAGGAAAATTTAAGTTTAATAATAATAATACTCTCCCTATTACTTCTGTAGATGTCGAAAGGAGTTTTTCTTTGTACAAGTACATACTGATAGGAGACAATCATTTAATACAGATAATTTAGAAAAACATCTAATTGTTCATTCGTTTTATAATAATGTTGATTTGTAAATAAAATTAGTTAAGTATTATATTAGGTATTGTAAAATAAAACAAATAATAAATATTAATAAACTATTTCGATCAAATAACAAATTACTCTTATTGCATATGCTCTGCATATTTTTCAATTTTTTACGCATATATTGAAGTATTTTGCGGCATATATATGCTCATATTTAACTACTTTTTGGGTGCATATATTCCTAGGTCTAGTTATTAGGAATTTTTTGATAGTAGGTAGTTTATTTTTGTTAGGAAACTTTCTATGTGGCGTGCGTTCGTTTTTTTGCAATATATTCGAGATTTGCGAATCATGTGAAGTACAAAAAAATTCCATTAGATAAGACTGGTTCAAGAAATATATGCATATGTGCTCATATTTCAAGTGTTTTGTAGTAACTGGAATACACACGATTCGAAAGTTATATAAAGTACCCTTTAAGTGTTTTATCAAGGACTATTTTAGATGCTGTTGAAAGATGAGTCAGATTTTGAAGGTGTGTAAATAGTTAATGTATATAATAAAACAATTTTTTAAAAATGTAGTTTCTTTTATATGGATTTATATTTAGTGGAAGTCTAAAAATCTATGTAAAGAAACTGTAATATTTTTATATTAAATATTTGTCTTTCTGTCATACCCTGTATTATTAATGAATATTATCTAGTATTTAATATAACAAATAAGTGATCAGAAGTCATGTTTTAATTATGGTAATACATGAAAATGTACCTTATTTCAGTAATTAATATTCCTATTTTTTGAACACGCTGTATGATTCATTTTAAAGTGAAAGTAAGCATTAACAAGCTGTATACAAGTGTAACTCATGCTATAAGTTTCACGAAAAAAACATGAATTACTTCTGACAGCTCACCCTGTAGAGCTGCAAAATTGATGTCCACAAGAAATTCTGTCAGTACCCAAAATCAAAGTAAAAAGTGCGGGGTCCTTTATAAGGATAAAAAAAAACAAATGCAGACTTTGCAGAAAGTGGTAGAAATTTATTTCTACAATATGACTTAAAAGTATCTGTTACTTTTATTGAAGGATATGAGTCATAATATTGGATACATTGCGGACACCTGCCCTGCAAATATACAGTACCTATGTTAAGGTTAGAATTCTGAATATTGGAGAACGGTGTAGAAAAACAGCATTGAATAGATAGAAATACTATCCTATCTATATATTTTTACTTTCCTGTCTGTTTACAGATAATAAAAGTATAGTAATCATGATTTTTTCGACCTCAAGTTTTTAACGGATTTTTACGTTTTGGGGTTCCCTGAATCCGTTTTGACTATTTTTGCGATGAATGTGTGTGGTATGGGTGTGCATGTGGCTGTGTGTGTGTGTATACTCAACTCACGAACGGATACAGAGAAGAACACCGAATTTTAATATTAAATTTTATTCCGTCCTGCAGTGAAATGATTAAAAATGGAGTCGGAACATCTAGGAGGGCGCATTTGAATTTTGATTGAAAAAAAGCTACAGAAAGACACAAAATGTAAAATTTAAGCTTTAATCCATCCTGCGGTGAATAGTTTAAATTTAGAGCATAGTCTGGGGGTACTTTATAGGCAGTCCTATTTCTACTTTATGGAATATATCCGTTATTTACGATCATTCTTCAAATTAAAGTTGCTTGCAGTGTAATACACTATAGTTTTTGTCCCTTATAATGTTCCTAAAATGGGACAGTATTCGAGAAATTTCAAATTTCGAATGTTAAGAAAATTTTTCAAATAAAAATGGTTTGCAATATTCTCTATAATTTTTGTTCTATACATGATTTCTCTAAAAAAGACATAAATTGAAAAATTTGAGGAAAATAAAATTTTAATTTTTCAGCCTTTTCGTTGGCAATGAATATAAATATAAAAAAATGTTTCGAGTAAGATTTGTATGGAAATTGTATGTATTTAGTTCATCCTCTAAACATTTACAGGAGTGATACAATAGGTTGTACAAAATAACCGGAAAAAGTCTAATAACTAGACCCGAAAGTCATGTGTTGGACACTTCAGATTTTTTTTGTATATCCAACATGAAATTTTTATAAATGAAACAAATATTTTGAAAGAATATATTACCTTGCATTCGGAAGTATGTTTACAGCAAATATCCACCATAACTTTTAATTTTGAGCTCATTTCTCCACTTTTAATTTTAACCAGGTCATCCATAGAGTAAAAATCAGGCTGGGTCAAGGCGGATCCCATTTCTTCTACTTTTTCTCGGATCCTTAAACTTAAAATGTAAATTTAAAGTTCTTATATTAATAAAAATATATAAAGGGGTGGGTGGCTCAGTGGTAGAGTCTCTGCCTGTGGATCCAAGGGTCCCAGGTTCGAATCCCACCGTTGGCCGGGATTTTTTTATTTAATTTAATTATTTAAAATTAATTCTGATGCTTTGGTAAAATTCCCCACTCGACCATTCACTGTTGGGTTCTAATTAACAGTGCTGTTCCTAAAGTGGCGCTGGACAGTAACAACGCCTACACAGAACACGAGACTAATAACCTTAGTAGTTGATGCCGATGACACAAAAAAAAATATATAAAATATTTTTTAGACTAAGAGGCAAGCCATGTTATAGTATAAAGTTTTACGATTTTTCATGGGGTGTACCACTATACAAATATGTTAACTTTTCAAACTTGATTCTTAAGAACGGTATAGAAAACCAATGTTATTAACACAGCTATTGAATAGACAGGAATAAAAAATACTTGCTATCCCACTAACGTTCAATCATGGCAGGCAGATAAGCGAATTGAGAGCTACTCTCTTTGTTTTCTCATGTCTAAATATAATTAAGCGTCTCATCTTTATTCTTGCCAACAGTTCATGAAATATTTCCCAATTGTATTGGACATTCATTATAAGGTTTGATATGTAGGTTAATTTAAAGATGGTTTGGGAATTATGCCATTAGAGTAGAAAAGTGACATCGTCCCTTAGTTCAATTTACCAATATAAAATATAATAAATTAAATTCGAGATATGGATAAGCCTTACAAATAATATCAGTGAAAATTTGTTTTAATAGGTTACCAAAAGTACTGCAAATTAATAGGTTAAATGATATACACTACATTAACTTTCTAATACTGACTCCAGGAGAGCGGTATAGAAAAACAATGCTGTTGAATAGAGAGAAATAGAATACACGCTATTCCACTTAATAGTAAAAGTGTAACCACGCATCCAATCTCAGAAATCCTACTCACGTGCAAATATAATTAAGCGTCACGTCTTAATTTGGCTTGATACGTTGTTTAACTTGCTATATAATTAAAAAAAAATTGTTTACTTACGATTCAGCATATCTACAGGTAAAAATAAAATCCTTTAAGTAGTATATACCAAGTCTTAATCTTCTACAAAATTCGAGATTCTTTGTCGATTTCGATATGTTTTTGTTTAGAGAAAAAACTCTAAATAATGGATCGGTGTACATTTGTTCTAATAATCGATAAGAGAATGTTGATACTGGATATCTGAAAGGCAATAATTAGGATTCATAATAATATTGTTTTTCAGCTTTTTTTTTCAAAAATGTATGGTTATTTTACCTTTTGAAGTCCCACTTCTGAAGTATTCGTCCCGGTATAAGTGCCAACTGGTTTTTATGACATCCCGTACAAAAATACCGACCCAAGTATTCACAATAACGAAATCGTGATGCATATTTCGGCGCCACTCTCATACTGCATCCGGCACACCTGTAGTTTTGTTTCGACATCAAAACTTTTCTACTGCAAAAGAAAATAATTGAAAGGAAGGTGTTTTGTCGGTTAGAGAATGAAACTACACAGAACATTAAGGAGGAACTTGTTAATAAATAAATAACTAAATTTTATTTTCCATAAGACAATACAATAATTGTATGGGATTCGTCAAAATACAAGTAAATAAAATAAAAATATGATAAAAGCATAAAACTAGAAAATAGAAAAAAATATGGGTAGGACTTATACATCAAATTCGTAAAATTCAGCGAGATCATTTAAAGAAGGTTGAATTTCCCCATATGCATACACCGTATCTTAGACGTGAGTCTACTTGTGCAAAATACACCATAACTAATTGACGAACTTCAAGTATAGACCGTAAATTCATGAAAAGAAACTTTAGCGAATTAATTTTTTTGTCCAATCAATACTATTAAAGTAACTTGACATTTTTTGAGCGAAGTTGGAGCTCTCTCTGTTTAGTAGATCCGTATTTTTAGCTGAACTTATGCCGAGAAATAATCTGCAGAGCTTACATTTGTTTATATACAGTATGAACAATATAGGTCCCAAAATTGAACCTTGAGGAACTCCCATATTAATATCTAGTGTATCAGAATTAATAGTATTGATTTTATTGTCGTTTTGTACTTTTAAAGAAATATATTGTTTCCTAGCACGTAGAAAGGTTGAGATCTATTTTAAAACAGTGGCTCGATTCTATATTTCAATATATTTAATAGCTACTCATGGTTTACACAATCGAATGCTTTACTGAGATCACAAAAGATAGCAGCTGGGCATTAAGATTCCTCCAAATGGTGAATAATTTTATTGTATAATGAAAACCCTGCAGATGTTGATTTTTCAGCACAGAGTCCATGCTGATTTCCTGTTATAATGTTGTACCTTTTCAAGAAAGACAGAAGCTGATCTAAAAAGGCATATTCAAAGATTTTAGACAGACCACAGAGAATAGCAACAGGTCTATAGTTTTCTATTTGTCTACGTTCATTTTTCTTGTGCAATGGTAAAACTTTCCCCAGTTTTAAACCTTGAGGAAAACTGTCCATCTCAAATGATAAGTTTACCAGGTTCAGAGAGAACATCTAATTTCTGTTTAACTGAAAATGTTTACCCTGCAATGTGGAGGAGTGTGGTTGTACGAGTTCTGCCAAAAAAGCCAAATCCAGTAGATTTTAAAGATCTTCGGCCAATTAGTATACTACCCACATTATCAAAAATTATTGAACGGGCAATGGAATTTCAAATAAAAGAACATCTCCAAATTTTTTCCCTAGTTCCTCCTGTTCAATCCGGTTTCCGGAAAGGATATAGCTGCACCACTGCTCTTCTTCACATTGTAGATGACATAATTAGAGCAACAGATAATGGTAAATGCACGTTGCTTGTTTTACTTGACTTCAGCAGGGCATTTGACACTATCAACTATGATTTGTTTACTGCTATATTGGGTTATATAGGATTTTCTAATAATGCCCTCATGCTAATAAATAATTACTTCAAAAGTAGACTTGGACGGGGTGAATTCCACTTTTAAATCATTAATATCAGGAGTACCGCAGGGTTCAATACTGGGACCATTGTTCTTTTCTATTTATTCTTCACAACTCATAAAACATTTATCTAACTGCAACATCCACTTATACGCGGATGACACCCAACTTTACTACAGTTTTCCTCCCCAAATGATAGAAAGTGCTTGTAATGCCATAAATGAAGATCTTTGTACATTTATCGACTCGGCCAGAGATCACTGCTTAGTTATAAATCCCAGTAAATCAAATGTACTTTTGTTTGGATCTAGAGTCAATCGTCAAAAAATTTGCAATCAAATCAATATTAAAATAGATGATGAAAGTCTTAATTTAGTAACGGAAGCTAGAAATCTTGGGGTAATAATGGATGCAGAATTGCGATTTGAGAAACATATAAATAAAGCACTCCAACGAGCGTATATTGCTCTTAAATCAATTTATGGTATTAGGCATTTTTTACCACATCAAATAAAAAAGACTGATCACTAGAGTTTTGTCCATATTTAATTACGCTGATGCTCTCTATGGTCCATGTTTAACTGTCCAATATAAGAAAAAAATTCAAAAAATACAAAACTGCTGCCTCCGTTTAATATTTGGGATTACAAGACGTTGCAGAATCTCTCATAAACTAAAAGAAATTGGTTGGTTAAACATGGACAATAGAAGAGTATTGCACTCTGCCTGTTTGTTTTACAAAATTATGTATACAAAAAAACCGTCCTACCTCCATAGAAAAATAACATTTCAGACAGACGTTCATAATTTAAATATTAGAAATAAGGGCTCGTTAACAACTCCTTCTTTCAAACTTGAAATATTTCGACGGTCACTTAGTTATCAGAACTGCTATATTTTGAATGGAATCTCCCAAAAAATTGTAAATCAAAAGGCTAACAAATTTAGATTATTATTAAAAGAAAATTTATTTTATCATCAAAATACATAACATTATTATATTTTTTTTTTGTTTCTAACGCCCTACCTAGAATTAAAATTAAATTTAAAAAAACTGTAAATTATAATTTATATTTTTGTTTATAAACTTTTTCTGTAGTACCTAAGGTGCATGTACGATTTTAAGGTTACGTGGAAGAGCAAGTTTTATGGAATATATCTTCATAAAAGTTGAACTTCACCTTTTATTTTCAATGTATACATTGTATTGTTATACCGATATTCCCAGATAGCACAGGACGTCCTGATTTGGTCCCTTGTTGGTCCGGTTGGTCCCGGACCTAAATAGGACGTCCACTGGACTTCCGATTACAGTTAACACTAGGACGTCCTCAGAAGGACGTCATCTGGACGTCCTATTTTGGTCCCGTTTCGACAAAGCGTTTAGTTTTCGGTCCGAGTCCGGGACGTTAATGGGACGTCTATGGGACTTTCTATGCACTAGCATAGTTGGTCTTTGAATCGATAACTTGAAATTCAACGTTTTGATTTTGCAAGAGTATGAGGACAGAAAACCTAACCTATCATTTATTTTCAAATGAACAACAATAGCTACAATTTTCGGCATTCAATAATTAACTTAAATAAGTGAGTTAGATTAACGAAGAAAAAAGAAGGTTATATAGTGTTATTTGTTATTTTTTTGATGCTGGTGGTAAAGTGGTTATAAAGTGAAGTGAGTGTTTTGTGTTGATGTGAGAATAAGTGATGTGTATTGTCGGTAGCCGCTGGCGGAAAGAAAATACCTTAATGGCGGATAGTTGGAACAAAACTAATTTGGACAAAATTATAATACTCAGTTTTGTCGACACAAGCTATAAGTAGGACCCAAGGTTTCATCTTGCCAGCACTGTGTGTTAAATTTAATTCATTCCTGTTTTTTTTTGTAAACTGAAAACGTTTAACTCTAGCTAGGTTTTTTAGGATAAAAGTTGTTAAATAAAGCTCTTTTATTGTTAACATTTTTGTTATTATTACCCTTTATGGATTATGGTCAAATATCGTCCCTCGGACGTCTGATTTACGTCCCTAGGACGTCCCGCAAAGGTCCCTATGACGTCCTTTTGGGATGTCCCAGGGACGTTCCTAAGATGGACAGAAACGGGACATTAGGACGTCCATGGGACGTCCGATTGACGTCCCGGTACCAAAATAGGACGTCCCTCGGACGTCCTTTATGTCCCTAAAGGACGTCTTTTAGACGTCCGTGTGCTATGTGGGTTGTAACGGAAATAATTTTTTTGTATTGAAAATAATAAAGACTATTATTATTATTATTATTATAATTATACTTGTTTTAGTACTAAACATGGTACGTCATCGGCCCCAGAAGATCTTTTGTTATTAATTTTCCTAAGTAACAAATTTAATAATTCTGTGTGAGAAAATGGATTGAGGCAGAAAGAATCTTTATTTGATGTGATTCCTTCGATGTTACTAGTAGACTTTGTTATTATTTTGTCGATCGAATGACCAGGAGCATATTTAAAAAAAAAACTATTAAACTCTGCAGCTACCTCCCATGAATCATCCAATAACATCCCGTCCTTTTCTATGACAATAGTTGGTACAGAATTTTGCCTATTCGTAATTTCTGATACAACATTCCAACAAGTTTTAATAGTATTGTCTGATCTTAGAATACGTTTTTGATAGTGTTTTTTTTTCTTTGATTGTAATAAAAAGAAATGATTTTTCTTACGTTTTTTATATATTTCGGTAAAATGAGGATTACATTTTTTTTAATATAAAAAGGTCTTTTAGTGATCGGCTTGAGGCAGCAATTTCGGCATCTATTCGCTCCGTGCGCGACAGTAGCGCCAATTCGCTTTGATACTAATGGACTATTTCTGCGTACACTGACAAATACAACTTTTAATAGAATTCGTAATTAAAAAGTATATATGGTAGTTTTAATAAAAGTATATGGATTTGTAAAACAAGTAAAACATTAATTTATTATTATTATATATTTTTATCGCTTAAATTAAAGAAAATTATGTATAATCGATAAAAATGAATAATAAAATATAGGCAGGCAACAATATTTACTGGAAATTGTATGAGAAGTTGCCTAAGTCTAATAAGTTTTCATTTAAGAATTACTCTAATCTGTCAAAATAAAAAAAATACCATTTAATAATAGCGTGAAGTTAAAATGTATAAAAGAAGGATCATTACATATATTTTCATTTTTGTTCAAAAGAAAACATAGAATGAATGATTAAAACTGATTTCCCATCAGTAAGTTACAAAATTGCATTCCAACAACATATAATAATCAAAGGCAGAAATCTTGAAATCTAGTCCTTGCTGAATGAACATTTAAGAATAAGGGATATTAAAGAACATGGTAAAATGATAATTTATTGTTGATTTAAAACCTTTCAAGTTTCTGATGTCTACTATTTGCAGCATTACGGTTATTATTACAAAAATAAAGGTAATTTTTCTTCTTATTGTATATCTATCCATTTATTTCTTTGATTTAATTTCCACTTTGCTACTGAAATTTTTTATATAAGTTTCACTGTTTTTTTTGCTAGTATTTGTTCAATTTTCAACACAGCAACTCCGGTTGCTTATTGTATTGTTTTTACCTACTTTTTTTGAAAAAAAGTAAAATGTATACGTATATTTGATATGCCAAAATTACAAAATATCGCCCTAAAATGCACGAATTATCCGCAGCTAGCGCTAGTATCGCTTTTGCTTCCCTTTCCATGACTTCGCACGGAGCGAATACAACTTTTTTTTTTGTAAGATACTTTGTTTTTCAGGGAAGCAAAAATTAAAACGATTTTTAAAAATGTCATAAAAGTACGAAAATATTATTTAAAATTGTCCAGTCTTCATTGGAAAGAGCTTGTTAAAACTGCGCTATATTATGTTTGCTAAAATTTTTTTTCGCTACATTCATTTTCGAAACATTTTCCAAAAACTTTAAAGAGATTAAAATTACAAAAAAATTGAACGATGATCTGAAATTTCGTTATCAACACGTGACAATGTATTTACAACTGCTCACGAAAATTTGATCAATTAATGTGCAAGAATTTTCAGTGACTATTGTTGGCCAAGTAACTATTGGCACAAGGTCAAAACAGGACAAAAGCATACACAAATCATTAAAACTATCATTTGAATATTTGTCTAAATTAAAATCTGTTAAAATAAACTGAGTATGTGGGATGTATATATGATCTAACACCTCAGAAATTTGATTTAAAAAAATTTTAATGTCTCCAGAAGGAGATCGATAAAAATTTAAAATAGTATGAACAATTTTATTAACTTTGTAAGATACAGCACATATTTCGAAGTGTTTTTCTATACAGAATGTGGACAGATCTATACATTATCACGTTATCAAAGTTTTTCATCCAAATACTAGTACCTCCACATCAGAGTTGGGTCGGATACAGGCAAAAAGTATCCGAGTACCGGATACTTACAATGTATCCGGATACTTTCACCTAAAAAGTACTCGGATACAAGTATCCGGATACTTTTAAAGTGAGTTAAAATAATGTTTTCATTCCAATAGTTATAATTATGCAATAAGATTGATTACGAGTAACAATAAACAATACTAAGCATAAATAAATTATCGAAAATGGAAAGCGATATAATAGAAAGAGGAAAAAACTACTCAATAAATTGTTTATTTTTATTCTGTGAATATAAAACATTAAAACAAAATGAACAATAAAACATAAAGGTGCGTGTAAATTGTAACGTGATATCTAGTTATTTTATTTACTTGTTATCACATGTGATCTATTTAAATGAAACTTTTGACACAAGGCATAAACGACAAATTACATTTGAGTAAGAGGTGATTGTGTCGAAATAACGGTTCCAATTGTTACAAAATAAAACGAGTCGCAACTGAACCGCGCCAAAAACTAGCCAGTGTTGTGTCCATATAAATCTAACGAAATAAGCTCGTTGTTGGTGCGACTTGCCATGTTTACACAACCTTTCGATATTTTCGTCAGTGTCCGATGTATAGCACAAGTAGAAGTTGGAAAGGCTTTTGGTAGGTAGAGAAGGGGTAAACGTCAAACCACGACGGACGGCTTCGAGAATTTCGCAGTAATGTTTACCTGCCAGTGTCGTTTCATAGAATTAGTAATTTTAAACTGTTACCGGACGATCGCATGTATTTATGGACTATAAATAATTATTTAACATGTATCTCTCTGCATCTGTAACGTGTGGAAGGTGGGTTACCCCCACGGTACTTAGGCCTCATTAGGACCATTGTATTAAACATTATAATATTCAAATCATAATTTTACAAAATTTCAACAGCTATCCACAATTTATTAAACTATTTACTTGAAATTGTTATTAACATCTACAAAATAATTTTGTACGCCAATGTATAGCGTCCACTTCGGTTAGATCCGCCACAAACCTGTCAATTTATGTGTATAAAGTGGGAGAATTAGCAAAAGCCTTTCCAACTTCTACTTGTGCTATATTCGACAATCCATTTTTTGTGGATCCTCCGACGAGCGGTACACAGATATTTTTTTCTTAACCATCCTCCCGAGTCCTATCGCTTGCCGAGTCCCTTACGTATTGCGTTTGCGCGTTTGAAATTATTATATACTTGAGAAGTAACTTTTATGATGATTTTGTTTCAAACAGAATTAAAAAAAATTATTTTCAAATTTTTGTGTTTATGTAAAATTTACTTTCAAACCTCCAATCTTAAGGTGTTCAGAAGTTATTTTACTTTTTTTAGTATAGTTAAAAAATTCCATTCTTTCACTGCTTTTGAAGATTTTTTTACCAACATTCAATTGAAATTTTTTTTTTCTACAAATTAAGATTTTTTAAATTGCTAGTAAATGAATGAATTAAGAACTATATTTTGGTACGCTTTAGATACTTACGTTGAAATTTGGAAAAAAACATTGATTACTCTAAAAAGTATTACATATTGTAGATACATTTCTAAAAAAAATACAGATAAGAAATTTTCTGTTGAAGTTACAATTTTATAGGCATTTCGCCTCTATCTACAATTTTTGATCTACAAAAGAATGTGTGCAGCTACATATTTTATTTTGTAAATAATTGAAATTATTTTATAAATACATAATATTTTGATTCATTTATAAAAATTTTGTTTGCCATATTTTTTAAATAATTCTACGATTCAAGAAAATTTAATTCTTGTAAATATTTACATATTTTATCCAGTTAGATACTGAAACTCTTTGCACAACTGTACGAAAATTATAAAATGTTAGGTTAGGAACATCAAAATCTTGCAACTTTTCTTAGAAAATATTCGGTTATCAGCATTTTTTTTTTAGAAATGTCTGTAGAATGGATACTTTTTAATGTTCAATTTTTTCCAAATTCCAAAAGTATCCGAATGCCGTAAAAAAGTATCCAGTATCCGGATACTTACAAATTTGGTCACGGATAGGTACGGATAGCGGATACAAAATTTGAAACGTATCCGGATACAGCTTTCGGATACACAAAAAGTATCCGGATATAGAAGTATCCGGATACTACCCAACTCTGCTCCACATTTTAAATTTGTTCAGCAGAAAAAGCTAATTAATTTAAAAATTTTAATTCTAATTAAATTTAGGTAATCGTCTTTAATTCCAATTTCATTTATACATAAAATATTGAGATCTTCAAGAAGATCAATGTCGTTTTCAAGAAAATTAATTTTGTCATTATTAATGGTATTAATATTTAGCAAGAGTAGTTGTTAAATTGGTATTCGTTTATGAATGAGCTTAATTAATAAAAAAAATAACGATTTTTATTTCAAAACTGGGCAGTCCACACAACTTTTGATTTTACCTTATTCGCTCCGTGCGAAGTCATGGAAAGGGAAGCAAAAGCGATACTAGCGCTAGCTGCGGATAATTCGTGCATTTTAGGGCGATATTTTGTAATTTTGGCATATCAAATACACGTATACATTTTACTTTTTTTCAAAAAAAGTAGGTAAAAACAATACAATAAGCAACCGGAGTTGAAAATTGTACAAATACTAGCAAAAAAACAGTGAAACTTATATAAAAAATTTCAGTAGCAAAGTGGAAATTAAATCAAAGAAATAAATGAATAGATATACAATAAGAAGAAAAATTACCTTTATTTTTGTAATAATAACCGTAATGCTGGAAATAGTAGACATCAGAAACTTGAAAGGTTTTAAATAAACAATAAATTATCATTTTACGATGTTCTTTAATATCCTCTTATTCTTAAATGTTCATTCAGCAAGGACTAGATTTCAAGATTTCTGCCTTTGATTATTATATGTGGTTGGAACGCAATTTTATAACTTACTGATGGGAAATCAGTTTTAATCATTCATTCTATGTTTTCTTTCGAACAAAAATGAAAACAAGTAAAGATCCTTTTTTTGTACCTTTTAACTTCACGCTATTATTAAATGGTATTTTTTTATTTTGACAGAATAGGCTAATTCTTCAATGAAAACTTATTAGACTTAGGCAACTTCTCATACATTTTCCAGTAAATACTATTGCCTGCCTATATTTTATTATTGATTTTTATCTATTATACATAATTTTCTTTAATTTAAGCGATAAAAATATATAATAATAATAAATTAATGTTTTACTTGTTTTACAAATCCATATACTTTTATTAAAACTAACATATATACTTTTTAATTATGAATTCTATTAAAAGTTGCATTTGTCAGTATACGCAGAAATAGTCCATTAGTATCAAAACGAATTGGCGCTGCTGTCGCGCACGGAGCGAATATCTAACTAACATTGCACACAGAGCATGTTACCAATTTCAACCAACAATAACACACCAACTAAAAATCAGGGTTTCTGCAAAAAAAAAATTACATTTTTCTTGGGCTTTTAATTCGCTGTACTATAAGATATTGGTTGCTATTTCACAAATTCAATAAGGGTTAGGACTGAAGAAATGAAAGCTATGATATAAAATTTGTCGTTTTTTTCTTAAATTTACGTAAACTCGAAAGTTATTTCAACTGTCCAGTTTGGAAATGAACGCCCAGGTTATTAAAGGAATTAATGCATTACAGCATAAGTAAAAACCGCCCTATTAATAAAAAAAAAAAAATTGTAATATCATACTTACGCTGTGGCTGGATGTATTGTAAAAATTATTTGTGCTCTAGGCGGAGCCCACTCTTGTGTTCCCCTCAGAGGAGTTATATTTTCTTCCGCAGAGTCAGGACTAACAGGCCAACTTTTAGGAAGAGGTAACAATGCTTGGGGAGCATCTTCCTCAGAAACTAACCATTCCAAATCAGAAGCACTGCAAATCAACAGTTTAAGTCTGAACTTGTTAAAGACACATATTTTTAATTGTAAAAAATACAGCATTGATCAAAATCATTGGTCCGATCCTAGACAAGGCGTGACTTAACAAATCATGTTACCGACTTTACCGAAAGAAGCATTGAAAAATATTCTGCCCTTTTACAACAATCTTAAAGTGCACCTCAGCATGAATCAAACGAATACCATGGTGTGCAAATACTTATTTTCTGAGGTACAGATATTTAAAGTATGGTAAACACACTGTACAACACACAACCTACAAAAATTAAATAAAGAATTTGGTGAACTTCAAAATTCGTAAGTCAAGCACGTTATTTCAAAACCTACAAGACAGTAAGAACTTCTAAACTCCAGATATCATCAGGTAAAACCGCAAAGAGAAGTAAATCAATCACGAACCAGTGAATAAAATTGATAATTTTTCCAATAAATTTGCGGGTTTTGAGGAATTTTCTAACACAAACCTTGTTTAAATTTTTTCACACTACACAAAATGTTTGCCTTTAAATAAAATAAGAGTAACTTACCGTGGTAACTGTTTATCACTAAATTTACTAATTAGAGAGATTGCAACACCTTCCGCAGACAATATATCTGAAGCACCATCTGGAGCACCACGGGTGTGTCGTTTCATGATATCCGCTTCGGAAAAGAGAGACGCCATCGACATTGATAAACCGGCATTTTCCTCGAGATTCGACGTTTCGTTCATTTCCAGATCTTCTACATCGTCAGAACTTGAACCATCAGAAGTTGCGTCTGGGGGTGTGGAACAAGGGCTGACTGTTGTAGCAGCTAAAAAGGGATTAGAGTATCTACTTATTTTCAAAAATAATATTTTTATTTTCTGTTAAATTTGAAATTTTCCCAAGAAAAATGGATATGATTTCCCAATATTTTAACAGGGTATTCTACCAACAATTTAAAAGGAGGGGGTCATTTTTTTAAACGGATTTTCTTGCATTAAAACGTCAAGATAAATTATTTTTATTTTTTCGTATGTAAACTTGTACGAAAAAATTACAAAAGTAAAATAAGTTTCTAAATTTCGTGTAGTGCTTGCAAAATCATTACAGAACATAATCAAAACCAGCAAAAGATGAGAAAACCGAAATATTAGATTTTGAAAAGTTCATGATGATGAAAAAGAAGAAAATAAAAATGGACAAAGCGTACAGTCACGTTATTAAATTATGAATCATTTATTGATTTTAATATTTTTTTAAAAGGTTAAAAAGAGTAAAAATAATACAGGATGATAAATACGCCTAAAAACGTAGTAATGTGGCCAAGTTTGCGGGAGTAAGACTAGGGACAGTTTAAGACAAGATACATTTAGGTACACTGATAAGAAAGTCGGTAAAAGTTACAGGATATACTGACAACTTGTCTGTAGTATTCAAATAGAAGAGACAGTAAGACAAATAGATATTGAGATAAACGAAATAAGACATAAGAACAAAATCAAGGTAGGATACGTAGAAACGTTCAAATTCCTGCATATATTTTTGCATCGATAAAATAAAAAGTTACAACACAACAAGATGCAAATAAGAAAGAAGAAAAATTTAAGCCCAGTCGCTGGGTAACTGTGAAAGATATTCAAAACACCGATCACAGGCGTAGCAGTGACTGAACCAGGCACCGTCCGAATGGATGATCGAATTCGCAGAGCTTATGGCCCATTTATATGGTGAATATATGGATAAATGAATGATGAGGACTACGATATCCAGAGGAGAAAAACAATCTGGAGCCCAAGCCTGATTGAGGAGAGCCAGTGGATGAACTCTGCCAGAAGGGTAAAAAGAAACATATACAAATTTTTTGAGTGAAAATTAATCCCAAAGTCACTAAAAGTGTGACGGGAAAATGAGATAAGACAAATAACTATTTATAATTAATCGTGAAGAAGAAACTTGGAATATTTTCCAAAGCTCAAAGAATGAAATGTACCATTCACCACTAAGAATTTTAACAGAATGACGTCTTCTAACAGAAAAACCGAAAAGAAGATCTGAAGATGCAGAGTCCAAGTTGACAGACTAAAAACTGAAAGAATATAATCCAAAACATAAAAGAATAGAAGAAGATTGTGAACAATGTAAATACACACCAGGTACTATAGATAAAGAATATGAGAGTACATGGACTTATACACAATAAATTGATTTATAAAATTCAGTTTGAGCAGCTATGGTATAGCTTGTATATTTATATAACTTGTAAACACATGTAATTTCTGTTAAATTTATATTATTTTTTATGAAGTCTTCTAGTTACCTACAATATTATTTTATATAAAATGTAGAAAAACTTACTATCCGTTTTTCCATCACTCATCAAACTAAATGACATATTTTTCTTTTGCTTTTCTAATACTCTTTTGGTTCTCCGTAACCTTATCTTTTGCTTGAGTTCTACTATTTCAGGATCGCTATCATCCATTTGTTCTTCGCCTATATTAGAATGTCTTTTACATCTTATCTGTTCCATTGCAGAAATAATGGCCTCCGAAATGCTGAAATGTGCATTTTCTCTATCCAGTTCGGCATTTGCTCTGGCAAATTGACTGGATGTCAAGAATGAGAGAAGACTTTGGCCTTTGGTGGGTTTTGGAAAGTAACCAGTTGCCATAGGGAGTACACTCATGCCTCCATCTTCTAAAAGAAAAATACAATTACTCTTTCAAGATAACCCCTTCCAGTTTTTAAATAAAAATTTACCTATAAACGTTTTCTTTGGCAATCTCTTGTAATCTTTCTCTCCAGGCATTGGCAAAAACGAATCAACTACAGTCAAGGGTGATTGAGATAAAATATTGCTAACTTTCGATTTAGTCTCAGGCATTGATACAGTAGATTGTGTTAATTCTTCATTCATTATGGTACCACTGCTTTGTGAGCTACTCAAAGATGGAGTATGTTCCACTATACTACAATTATCAATAATGATATGTTTCACATCAGGAGGTTTGATATTTTGACGGTTTCTTTTGATGTTTAACTTCTTGGGAATAGGTTGAAGAGTTCTATAATCGACCTAAAATAAGTCATATTTTATATACAACAATTTTTATACAAAATGATACAGAATGTCTATTTGACAAATGAGGCAAGTTAATTTTTTAAATGGTTAGTTCGTATACTGAGACGAGACGTCCACATGCTAATAACACTTTAAGGCTGGGGCAGATTAGATAACATTTTGGGGGTTTTGACGATAACACGCCAGTAAGTCAATTATTTTTTAATTATTCACATTTTGGCATTATAATCATAAAATAACGTGTACACAATTTTTTTGTAGTCTGGCCTCTATGTGATATATACTCTGTACTTAGGCTTTACTGTTCTATTTTTTAACAAAACCTATCGCTCTATTTGTGGAAGAACGTCACAAATCAAAAAATTGCAATTTTGAGTTAACTCATACAAACAACTAATATTACATCCTATTTTTATGTGAAAGTATTATTTGACACATTAACGATAGATGGCAGCAGTGTCGTTTTAGTAGCGGACCAAATTGACAAGAGTATTAGGATTAGGTCTATTCCCTTGCATCGAAAGAGTAGCACTAAGCTATACAACTTCTGAAAATATCGTTCCATCCATACAATTTGTATTAATGGAACGATATTTTCAGAAGTGGCGTAGCTCAGTGCTACTTTCGATTTAAAGGAAAAGATCTTATATGTGGAAGAACGTCAGTTCTTAGTTAACTGTTGTGTGGGCCTATTACTTTTGTGGAAGTTCGTCATAACACAAAAAGTGCCGAAAATTACTAAGGGTGGGTGAGAGTGACTTTGTTAAAAAACGTCATAAGAAGAATTGTGTCCTTATAAAAAGAGTTAAATGCCACACTTTTTTACTGTAGTATTATTAGTTATGTCTATTTTCCACAACAAAAACTATTTTGAGTTTATGTTGATGGTGCCATTAGAATTATGATATTCTTGTCTGTAAAATGTTTGTTATGTTTTGTGATAATTTATATTGTGACTTTTTTAGACAATAGTAATTTGTGTTATACCTAATGTAGATACATAAAATACGGTTTCTTAATTGCATAAAAAATGCCCTAAGAATTTATTATTCTTGCAATGCCTAACAAAATATTAACAGGGAAAATAACAAATCTTTAAAGCACAGTAACTCAGATAGCACACGACGTCTGAAAGACGTCTTTTTTGTGTCTTGGTTAGGTCTCAATGTCCTAGGACGTTATTAAGACGTCTTATAAGACGTCTTGCAAAAGCCATAATTCAGACGTATTAATGTGAGAGCTCAAAGACGTTCTTAAGACGTCTTAAAGACGTCTTACCAAATCCATATATTAATGGGAAAGCTCAAAGACGTCTTTAAGACGTCTGACAATCGTCTTTCAGTCGGACGGAAACTTGCACGGTTTACATAATTCAAATTTAACAATAAGAATCAAATGAAGTGAAGTTTGACGTTTGATTTAACATTATATTCAAGCCGGACTTCCGATTCAGACACCATCGTGGCAATATTGAAATGGCGTTCTCCGAATCGGGAGCCAAGAAATCCCATAAAAATCACAAAATATCTAGTATAAAAGTGACCATCCGAATTTAAAAAGTATACAAAATTAAACAAAATATTCAGTGTAATATTTGGAGATGATAATTGAAATCAAATATCAAGTGCAGTGGAAAAGTGAAAAGATTGAGCCCATATTAAACGAAGAAAAGAAGAAATACATTCAAGCCCAAGCCAAAAATTTGTATGGCCCAAGGTCATTGTGGATTATTGATTATTTTATTGCGTACACGATTATAACCACCAAAAGCGACTTTGGGCTATTTTGAGCATTTGTGTCTCTTTCTACTTAAATAATATGGAACAAAAACCAGAGAGGGAAGAATAGTTTGTGTTACCGATGTAGCACGTTCCTGGAATACAGGTAATAAATGAATATTTGTTTATATACATAGAACATTAATATCCTGTTTCTTCTAAGAATAATTAAATTAATTTAAAAGTAAACATCTTATTATAAGATTTAATTCAGATATTCGTCAAGTATCATTTTTGTTTTGTTTTTATGGAGATTTTGAGAACTAATAATATCAAAAACTCCCTATTAGATAGCCATTTTGAGTGAAGTTAAAGTAAAATTGTTAAAGTAGGCGTAAGAAATTAATTTTTTGTTTTGTTTTATAGATAACTGTTCTGTCGGTTTTTACTAACTTTTGCAAAGTGTAATTTTCTGTGACTAAATGCTCTTAACTAAATTTCTTTTTAGGAGCTATACAGAGGCAACTACAAATCAAAGAGAAAAATCAATCCAGTTATGGCTAAAGAGGAGTGATCGAATGCGCTACAAAGAAAATAACTCTTAGTGACCTGTGATTAATAGATGTTTTATCAATAAATATTTTATTTCTATTTTTTGCATTATTTATAATCTGCAAGGTTGTTCTACTTTTTAATAACCAAGATAACCGACGTCCTACGTTCATAAGACATCTTAAAGACGTCTTATTTATGGCTTCACAAGACCATTATAAGCTATTAATAAGTCGTCTTATTTATGGCTTATTTAAAACTTCACAAAACCATTATAAGCCATTAATAAGACCAATAAAATACTCTTGTGAGATCCTAAGGACCACCCTCGTTTGATTTACCTTTTTGAACTTATAACTCACACATGGCTACCACCTTCAACTTTAATCATTAATAAGACGTCTTATTTAAGGCTTCACAAGACCATTATAAGCTATTAATAAGTCGTCTAAAAGACGTCTAATTTATGGCTTATTTAAAGCTTCACAAGACCATTATAAGCCATTAATAAGACGTCTTAAAGACATCTTATTTATGGCTTACTTAAGGCTTTACAAGACCATTATAAGCTATTAATAAGTCGTCTTAAAGACGTCTTACTTATGGCTTATTTTAAGCTCTACAGACCGATATAAGCTATTAATAAGACGTCTTAAAGACGTCTTTCAGGAAATACCAGACGTCTTAAAGACGTCTCGAATGTCTTATGTTAGACGTCTTAAAGACGTCTTTAAGAACGAAAGTATAATTATGAACTCGTATAATTTATGTGACGTTAGCGTTCAGCATACCGCCGCCATCTTGAATTTTTTTAAATGGCAACGTAGGTAGAGGGATAGAGGGGTAGAGAAAAGCTTATTTTTTCCTCTTTTCAAGAATACAAAAAAAATTATAAGATTACTAATGTAATACAATCTCATTCATCACTATAAAATACCTTGTTGCTAGACTTTTTCGCTACACTGTATGTCTAGCATCAGAAAAAAACAATTCAGCCTATTATTTCATAATTATACATTCATTAGTTTCAAAGAAAATACCTTTTGGTGCCAAACTATTTCGCTACCCCGCACATTTTTTAAATTGCCGATTAAGTGCCCTTTCAATCAACTCTTTCTTTCTCTTCTCTACAAAAAAATGATGTAAAAACTTGTAATTTTATAAAATTTATAAATAAAATTTGATTATAGCGTTTTTTGGCTGCTTGTCAGACGTCTCTTTACAGCTATTTGGTGATCGATAAAAATTACCCCCATTTATTGAAAAATCATTATCCTTTTATCAAATTTTAGTGTAATAATGTACTTTTCTGACTAAGATAGTATTAAAAGTATGAATAAGAAATGAGATAAGATAAAATAGAAAAATAATGATAAAATAAAAGCAAAAACTCTTATTTGTTTAGTTTTCAAATTATACAGTTATAAGATTTTTGATGACTTAAATTTGATAATCGATTATGAATTTTTCAAACTATACCTTAGTGTCCTTAAAATTATAAAAATTCAATTCAAAAATCATGATGTCTTAAATTCACTTCAAATGTATTAAATATGTTTTCAAGAGCACTTAACACAAATTGAAAACTCCGAATTACTTAAGACATAAAACTACAATAAATTATTGAAATTGAAAGTAAATTCACTATAACAACCCTATCAGTCACGCAAATAACATAATAATACCAATTATTGATTATACCAGTAATTATGAAATTGTTTAAGATATCAATCTACTTGTGGAGCATTAAAAAGTAAATAAAACAACTTATGAATCACGAATTCTCAATAACTTAGCAATCCGAAAAATTAAAACATAAACTTATTGTAAACATTCCAATAATATCCATAATAATACAAAACAAATCTCTAACAATAACAACAGGTAAGCTTTATGACAAATAAGTATTTAATGTTATAATAAAAATGCCTTATTAAAGATTTACCTGTTTATAAATGAGAAAAATACATTTACTTAATCTTTTATTTAGTACCTACTTAAATGGATTAAAACAGGTAAATTTAGAAATAATTTGTTTGTCTCGTGCCTAGGTCAATGGCGTAGAAAAATAAAAGATTTATAATATTGGTTTTTGTTTTGTTAACTACAAGGCATTACATAAATTACTAAAGAATGGTATGCAACTCCTCAAATGTGGTCATCTTATATAGTACCAAAGTAACACAACAGTACTTTATATTTTGTTTATATTTGTCTGTTTTTATAATCCTAATTAATTAACAATAACAATTTATGATTGTAATACTTTACCTTAAGTAGTGATGGAGATATCTTTTTAGAATGAATTGGTGTTGATGGAGTAGTCTTGCTCTCAAAACGGGGCCTATTTTTAAAAATATTATGCTGCACAGACAAAAGAGAAGGCATACTGTGCCAAGCTTTTAATTTTCCATGTATTTTTCCGGTTGCTATTTTTTTATTGACTTCGTTTTGAAAATTTTGTATAGTTCGTCTTCTGATATTTAATTTTTCCTCATAAATTTTTTGCATATGATTATCAGGAAAAGACGAGCATCTTCTATGAATCTTGAGAAATTGACTAGGTTTTTGAAGAAACAAAGAAGGATTAATTTCCGACATTAAACTAGCTTGGTTTCTTTCGACTGCTCTTAAACATATTAACGTTGCTTCTGCATATTTCTCTTGACAAAGAAAAGCATAATCATGGTAACACTTGGATAAATGGTTTTTGTCGGAAAGAAGCCAAGATAATTTTTGTGATAAAGAATGATTTTCAAGGCTTCTGTATAACCAAATGGCAGATTTTTTATTTTTTAAATGGGACGGAATGTGTGGCCGATATTCACAGTCTATTGAGAAATATGATTTCGAATTTTCTGGTTGTAGCCATTCCAAGCCTTGAATGAAATTGTAATAACCAGATTCCTAAAAAATAAATATATATAATTCAAACAAAATTTAATTTAATAATTGTCATTTATTGAACTGAAAATTCAGTCCTATAGGCTATCGACCGAAGTCCTCCTGCCTTAAAACAAAATATATCACAAATTATCCAATTCAGCTGAGTTTTTCACGTGTATCTTTGATTTTGATAGAAAGTAAAGGTGTAGGTCATAAATAATAATAACAGATATTCTGGTGTTAAAAATAGAACTTTGAGACCCAGCTTACCTATAGCTAGCGAAGTTACAAATTAAAAAAATTAGGAACTTAAACAATTTGATATGAAAATATACACATGATCTTCTTATAGTAAAAGCATTTTTGCAAGTAAAAATTACAAAAATAGTTTAATCCAGAAATTTTTTAAACTTTTGGCCCCTAGTACTTTTCAATAAAAATTGACACCTACATAAATTAAGGTAAAGATTTTTTTACCAAAAATAAATTAATGATTTTTTGTATTTTTAATAATCAAACTATCTAGATTGCAGTTATTACAGGAGTGGCCAGACTACTTAGAATACATACAGTATGGTTCAAATGAAAGGAATAAATTCATTATAATGGAAGTAGTTGGTTTTTCGAAAAAATGCTCGGACAGGTCAATTTTGTTTACTTAAAGCGCAATTTTTTAAATACAATTCAATTTTCCCCCACTTCCCATTTTTGGGCAGTGACGTCATTGAAATTTTTTTTAAATAGCAAACCCAATTTTTTTTTCTTGATTTTGATAGATCTCGCAATTTCCTACTCGGAAACATAATATTTGAAATATCTGACATAACAATTTTTTTTGAAAAAGTCATTTAAAGATCAGATACATAAATTTTGTTATTTTGAAACACAATAAATTAATAAAAGATAATTATTTGTAATTAAGTGCTTAATCTAAAATAATAATAATAATAATAATAATAATAATAATAATAATAAAAAGAATTTAATGACAATTTCACAAATTCTTTTTATTATTTTTATTATTATTATTTTGTTAGATTAAGCATTTAATTACAAATAATTATCTTTTATTCATTTATTGTGTTCTCAAAATAAAACAAAATTTATGAGTCTGATCTTTAAATGTCTTCTATTAAAAAAAATTGTTATGTAAGATATTTCAAATATTATGTTTCCGAGTAGAAAATTGCAAGATCTATCAAAATCAAGAAAAAAAAATTGATGTTATCATTTAAAAAAATTGTCAATGACGTCACTGCCCAAAAATGGGAAGTGGGGGAAAATTGAATTCTATTTAAAAAATTGCACTTTGAGTAAACAAAATTGACCTGTCCGAGCATTTTTTCGAAAAACCAGATACTTCCATTATAATGAATTTATTCCTTTCATTTGAATCATACTGTAGAAGGTGGCCCAACAAAAACTTGACATGGGGTGTTTTGGATATTAATATCGCATATGTTAAAAAACGCTTGGACAGGTCGATTTAAGTAAGAAGGGGAACATCTTTTTTTTTATCATTACCCTCCACTCCGTTACTCTAACCAACGTAATTTAAATAGGGAAAGGTGCCAAGTATGACACATCATTGAAAATGTAATTTTATCGGGAATTCAGCATGACTATTCATTGAGTTACTTTTAATTTTAGCGTCCTCTAGCGAAAAAAAAAAGAATATTTAAAAAGTTTCAGATCGGAACGATTTTTTTGCCTTTTCCTCAAAACTTAACTTTTGGTACATTATGACATCTACTTACAATTTGTTTTTCGTTGACAAATTTGCATAATTTTTGACTTCAGTCACTTATTTTTTAAAGCTGTTTAACATAATAACAATTCATATTTCAAATAAAGCCCTTCTAAAGAAAATAATGAAGAGTATTATTGCAATTTTTATTGGAATTGGTGTACACAATTTCGAACCCTGGTTGAACCTTCAATTACTTTCCCTAATTCACCCCCTTATGGGTGAATTTTAACCCCAAGAGCTTAGCTTATCCTGGGAAGGGACGGCTATTATTATTTGCTGTGGCGCTTTGGGGCGACTCAAAGATGATTGATGGTGCCATTTGACTTATTACAACGCTTACAAATAGTTTAATAGTTATAAGTTACAATGAGTTACAATAACAAATAAGTTACAATAAAGTACAATAATGGAAACCAATTATATAATAACAAGCACCTAGGTTAGAACACCTATATGTGCTGACAAAAATTAAAATTTTATATTTAATAAATTATAAAGGAAATAAAAAATAAAACTTGAACAATTTATGCAAGAAACAGAAAAAAACCATTTAAAAAAAATCCATGTATTAAGTCCGTTATTCTTGGAATATTCTGATAAACTTTCCATTATTTTGGAAAATGTATATATTGCTAACTTTACAGAATTTTTTATATTTGTTTAATAATTTTATATGAAGAGGTAGAGCGTTATAGAACTTTGTCCCTAGATAATTTACACTGTTTTTAAAAAACTCACTATTTGGTTTTGGTACTTTAATGCACATGTTCGATACAGTTCTAGTGTTATATCTATGTTCTAAAGGGTTTTTTAAAAATTCATTTTTTGTATATAACAACCCAGACAGCACACCAAATCCTTTGGATATCTACTGAACATTCCAATATCCACTGAATATCCAGTCCATGGTGGATATCTATTTTATATCCATAATATGTAATTTATAGACATGCAATTGTCCATAAATAATAGTAATTATATAGCAAATTATTAAAAAATTACGCCATTGTGGCTAATAGTACCTTTCAGATATTTAAAATTAATTTTTTTAAGGTGTATTCAATATCCCATGGACATCCACTAAATAATCAAAGTCTAGGCGCGAACGCAAACCATATAACTATAATTATAAATGCTTGTCTAACTGAAGGAATATTTCCTGATAGCATGAAAACTGCTAAGGTCTGTCCTCTATTTAAAAAAGGAGACCCTTCTCAGCCTTGCAACTTCAGACAAATTGCTGTACTTCCCATATTCTCCAAAATCTTGGAAAAAATTATGTATAATAATCTAATATCATATTTAAATTATTCCAACATAGGCCATTCCAGTATGGTTTTAGAAGGGGGCGATCTACAACAGATGCAGTATTATCTCTAGTACAATATATAGAAAAATGTTTTGAAAAATCAGAAAACTGTTTAGGTGTATTTACAGCTCTGCTTTTGACTCTGTGGATCATTCAATTATATTATCAAAACTGGAGAGGTATGGAGTACGAGGGATTTGTTTACAGCTTTTTAAATCTTATTTAACTGACAGATGTCAAACAGTCATCATCGAAAATTGCAAAAGTTCATTGATGCATATCAGGAGAGGTGTCCCTCATTGCTCAATTTTACGGCCCATTACTCTTTTTGATATACATTAATGATCTTCCTGACCATATGCATTTTGAAAACCTTATCACATGTATATTTGCTGATAATACTTCTTTTTGTATTAATACTAAAAGAGGAACAGATCATGATCAAGTTTACTCTGATGTCATGATTCAGGCAAAGAGGTGGTTTTCTGTAAACGACCTGTTTTTAAAAGACACAAAAACTATCTCCCAATTATTTACAGTAAATAGTGAACAAGTTAATAACAATTCTGTTAAAACACACACGCATTCAAATTGATCCACATCTCAGATGGACAGATCATATTGAAGCACTTTGTTCCAAATTATCACGAGCAGTTTTTGCTATCAGGAAAATACGCCAAATATGTGATCAAGATGCAGCAATTACTGCTTACTATGCTCTATTTCATAGTCATTTGACATATGGGACAATATGTTGGCGCAATGCTGCTGACATACATATCTCAAGAGTCTTTATTTTGTAAAAATCAGCCATAAGAGCCATAACACATGCTTCTTGGCAAGCCAGTTGTCGACCAGTATTCCCAGAACTTAAAATTATGACACTCTATGCAGTAATAATCTGCCAAAACCTTCTATTCGTAAGAAATAATATTAGCACATTTTTTTCCCACTCAGATATCCATAACTATAATACAAGGCACAAAGATAACTTAGTCCCTTTCCAGTCTATACAAAGAAATATTATATTGAGCTATACAATATACTACCACTTAATTTTAGAAATCAGCCTATAGATAAATTTAAACATGCATTAAAACAAATGTTAGTCAATAATTGCCTATATATAGCTTAGAGGAATTTAAATCAATACAGATGGAGGATGGAGGCTGTCACTGTGGCCTCTTAGTGATTCAGTGAACTATGTTGTAAATGTTTGTAAATTTCAATTTTATATTTAGGTAAATTTTATTATATATATATTTAGTTTTAATTGTAATTTGAGGAGCCATAAAATGTAATATTTTCTCATGTAAATAAGGATATTGTATTGGGGTTTAACCTGTTTGGACAATAATGTACTCTAAGAGTTACTTATCAAATACAACCCAGAATTAAAATTAGGAGTGATGTGTATTATTATTATTTAAAAGTAACAGAAACAAGGTGGATACACAAGTTTCTTGAGTTACAGAGTCAAGTAGATGATAAAAGAGTTACTAACTGGGCTGGCAACAAAACAAATAATTGAGTGGCCAAAAGTACTTTAAAATGAGAACGGCTAAATCGTCTGTTTTTTAAATGAAAAGTCACTTGATATCTGATAAAATGAAAATGTATCCTCCGTTTCTCAAAGAAAAAGTCACTTGATATCTGATAAAATTAAAACTTACTTCTTCTGATCCTTTAGATCCATGCCTAAATATTTTATCAACTATAGTATGGAATCTATTTAAGCCACCATAAACTGACCATACATTAGCAACCTGAGTCATCAATAAGCCTTCCACAGTGCTTTTTAGGTCTCTCAGCAATTGCTGATATTTTGATATATAGTGAGATGATTCACTCATGATTGTAATTAAAAATTATGCTTAAAATATATTATACTATAAAAACGAACTGAAGAAAACATTTAAAATTCTGGTAAAATATAAAAATTTGTTTTTATTCATTTTTAACTTATTCCTCCCACAATCACAATTATGTCACTGTCAAAACAAATCCAAAGAGATATGTCACTGTCAAAATCAGCTGTTTTAGTTTTCCTATTTTTCCAATCTTTTGCTTTTGAAAAAATATACAAATGTAAAGTACCTATTTAATATATTTAGTAAAGTATTTATTTTTCAATTTTAAAATAAAATCCTTCAAAACCAAAACGAATTTATAACATATGGCTGTTGGAGTAGAAAGTTTTAGACCATACTGATTCTGACGTTTTGTCATACTGACTTCTGACAGGACATTTTTTTGATAAATAAATAAATAATATAAATATTTACCAGAAACGGAAACCCAAGATTAAAGATTAGTTTTTCCATAATCATTATTATCTGTAATTATTTAATATGGAACCAAGAGAGACATCGGAACTCCAGCAATTGGTCTCTAGTGATGCCGAAAATGATGATAGTATAATTCAAGATGAAACTGAAGGAAAAATTGTATCACCAGTGAAAAGCAGTAAAGTGGTAATACATAAATATAATACCAAAAAAAATTTCTTACGTTTACGGGTATTTAATATTCAATATCCCTTTTTATTAATTATCGGAAAAATTTTAGATATCATCCTCTGGTAATACAAGTAGGAGTTCTATAGTTCATGGGCGAAAGGGCCAAACTGGGATTACTGGTTCAAAAATTACTTTTGTAAATGAAAGAAAAATAAGAGAGGGTAATAAAAATCCCACGGTTAGAGCTAGAAATCCCCATAAAGGTAAACAGATGAAATTTCTTACAACTATAAATATGTATATTAGATTTTCAGTTTTCATTTTTTAAATCTAAATAATAACATTGCAGTCATGTTAAACTTTAAATTATTGTTGATCATCCAGTCTAGTATGACAACCCATAAGCATAGGTCTCCCATAACTACCAATTTACTTATTTCTTGTGGTCTTTGTCCAATTTGCTCATATTGTATCTGCTACTTTTATAAGCTTTTTGTCAGACATCTAGGCCTCAAATCAGTTTTACATTTATTGCTCTTATCAGTATATCTCTTACCCTCAACACTTTAGCCCAATTCTATGCCCTTAGTTTAGTAAGGTCCTATATATTCTATTTCTAGAATTGACCATTCCATATCATTGTTATTTGTGGCAGATGGATTTTCTTAATACATGACTTGAACACAGAAGAAAGTTCTTTATCCTGTGACTTGAAGCTCCGATGAATAAATAAACTAGATATGTAACTGTTTTAAACTTTGTTTTGTCAGAATAACAAACTGAAGTATAGTGGTGTTGTTACCCAATTGATATGAATCATTCTGACACTAAATTTGAAAATTGCCAATGGGTTGACAGTGCCAATCATCAAAGAATTGTAAACAAAAGTTGTAAAGGAAGGGGCCATGTTCCAACCAAACAAATCATGATAGGTTACTTATCTATTTTATTTATCCATCTAAGATTTGAAGGTGAATGTTTATCCCTTAATTCATTTATTCTATTTTGTTTAAAAATGTTATTTTATACTTACCTCCTCTACTTTTCTTTATCTACTAAATATTGCTTGTTGGTTTAATATTTTTCTATTCTTAAGGACACTTATATGTCTTTGCATTTGTCCAAAAATTTTAGTAGTCACATTTCTATTTATTTTTAAGCAAGTTATGTTTTAGTAGTAATTTATTATAAGCTTCTTTTATTTATTTTATATTATTTTTGCACTATTTTTATTTTTTTCATTTTTATTTGGCATCTAGTAGATAACACAGGTAATTCCAATACTAGACACCATTCTTTTATCTCTCAAGTTCCCGATGTGAGGCATATGGAACGAGCTCTGTTAGGGCTGCTAGCTGACTTCCATTCTGGCAAATTACGTGCATTCGGAAGTGGTTGCACCATGGAACAGATGACCAACATCAGGGAGCAGCAAGAAAAACTTGCAAAATTACATTTTGATTTAGCTTCTGCAACGGTACCTAGTCTAAATGAAGAAGACATCCAAAGTTCCCAAAATACCATGAGTCAACTTATACAGAGATTAGAGCAATTGAGTGTTTCTATTGAAGGATTGCATAATAATTCCAATAAATAGAAAAGCTATTTTTTGAGTTAGTTAAAGTAAATTGTAAGATTTTTAATTAAAGATTACTAAAAGATTCAAGAAATATTAATTAAACTGCTCTCAATTTAATTTATTAAACTTTTTAACCTTGGTCAAAACCATCTTTGAATGAAAATCGAAGTTCTGGTAAAGATGCTCAAGATCTTCAGTCATGCACTGGAATTTAGATGTTGACAGTAACAAATCCATAAATATACAATGCAATGGTTATAAATATGTACCTTAAACTTTGGTTTAAAAGTATCAAATTATTTTCAATGTTTAAATTAATACAATATTAAAAACAATAGAAATAAATAAAGTTAGTGAATATATCTATGACATCTATTTTTATAAGTCTACTGTCACTGTCATTGGGACACAAATACTTCAGTACTAATATAGTGAATTAGTGAAATGAATACACAGGATGGATTATAATGCCTAAGAAATTGCAAATGATTAGATAGGTATGTTATTTGAATAAAATTCGTACTTAATAAAATTATAAAGGCCTTTTACAATTCATACGTCTATTTATTTAGCTATTTACCTCTACTTTGATAATTGTGAACATAGTTTAATTTCTCCTAAGATAATGAATAAATAAAAATTTTAAATAATGAGGTTATATTAATTTTTGAACAGATGTTATTTTATGAAATGAAGTAATGTTAAAGTATTCAATATATTATAATTATTTGTAAATAAGTATGCATGTTTTATTTTGTTATAAACTTTTATTTCATAATAAATACATGTTCGTTAGTATTTTTGTCTTTAATATAAGAATTTTCACAATCTTTTTTATTAAATTATATTTTTTTTAATGCATATATTGGCGCCTTAACAAAAATTGCTTTGATGTCAATCTCATCTTTATTCTATCTTCTTGTTTGTTGTTGCGGAAGTGGATCAGTTCTACGCCGTTCTGAAATACATGTTTTTGTTAGCAAATTGATGAAAAATAGCTTCCTAAAATGAATAGTGTTAAGAAATAATTGTTAAAACTAGAAATTTGAAATGATGAAGTAGGTACCTAAGTTTCAGAAAAAGGGCAAATAATATTAACACTTGTATTGAATGTAGACTGGACATTACCATTTAATATGTTCCGAAAACTTGTATTTAATTATTATATTACTCTTGATTAATTATTACATTACTCTCAATTAATTTTAATACTGAATAAGTTGTAATTACTTACTGTTTATTATTATTATTTATGTATTATGATACTTTTATCCATGTAATAAGGCTGTTGGCCTGTTTGGATATAAATAAATAAACAATAATAATAGGTAAAAAACATCTTTTGACAAAAATGCTTACAAAAGTTTAAGAAAATAAAGGTTATATTAAGAATATTTAGGGATCTATTTTGTAACATTTTAACCGGTAGGTTAAGAGGTTATTTATAACTATGACATTTTTATTTTAACCCAACTCTCTAGTCGATATTCCATCAATTTAATTTTGTGTTATTGACTATTTTATAACATCGCAGTTAAAATAGACATGGCAACGACTAAAAGTGAATTGAAATTAAGCCCAACGCAGCTTTAAAAATAAGAAAAAGAATGTATTTAATATATCATTACTAAATTTATACTGATAAGTTATAATTTCTCACCAAATATTACAAAATACAAAATTAAAAATGACACATCCTGTTAGTTTTATAATCCAGGGTTAATTTTAACCAAATTTTTACAGAATAGACCCCTTAAGAACATGTTATGAATTACATTTAACAATAAGGGAAGAGCATCAAGACAAGAAAACAAATTTTTAGAACAGAAAATTCTTAAAATAATAAATTCAGTATCTTTCAAATCAAGCAAACTTTGTTAAAACAGTATTTGTGGAGAATGCATTTTAAGATTAAAATTACCATAATAAATACTTTATTTAGCTCCAAGTTAGAGTATCTCATGGTATGTATTGGGTCCCATTTTATTCATTCTTTATATAAATGACAGCGACAACACTGCAGGTACTTTCACACTATTTGCTGATGACACTAAGGTTTTATGGCATAGCAATGGCACCTGTATTCTTTTTAATGCCATATTTTGTTGTGACATTGAGAAAATCAAAGCATGGTGCTATGCCAGGCTATTTGTGCCTAAATATAGAAAAAACTAAAATGCTAACCCTTAAATGTTCCTTACCAAATATTAGGAAATAGTTAGGAAATCTAATAAAATAAAATTTCTGGGCAATAATTTGAAATTTAAGAACCATATAGAATTGCTAAACAAAAAACTTTTTTCTGGGTGTTTTGCAGTCAGAACTGTGGCAAAAGAATTGTTTTAAACCAGCTAAAAGTGTATATTATGCTCTAGTGAGTCCCATTTAGGATGTGGAGTTGCATTTTGGAGAGGTTATAGCTATGAGTTGTTCAATAGTGTTTTTTTTTTTTTGTCTACAAAAGAGCATTACGATTTTTATATGGAGTAAAAAATATTCAGTCATTAGGCCACTTTTTGTTAAGACATGAAATATTAACCTTAACATCTTGTATTAAACATAACAATACTCTCATTTAAAGTGACAAATTGACAGCCTATGGTTAGCCACACCCAGATCTGAACTGGTATAAGGCTCCTTAATTAAATTAAATGTAGAATAAATTGCCAAAAATATAAAATTGACAGGAGCAATCATTGATATTTAGTATATTTGTAATTCAATTTTAATTTTATACCAAGTCAGAGAGAAATATCTGAAATAAGTGGTTGAATAATTTGACAAATTATAAAGACCATCCCTGAACTCCAAAGGTGAAAACAAATACTTGGAGATTTGAAAAAAAGCTAGTTGCAGCTGGGGATCGAACCTGAACATCCATGAATGCTAGGCATTATATTTAATGTTCTAATTTTTTTATTCATGCAATTGATTGATATTAAATAGAAGAAAAGTTACCTCTAAACTGGGAGTCTTAATATATACAGCCATTTAAAGAAATACTTACTTATTTTGTTTTCAGCAGCATCAGAAGCTGAAACAAATGTTCTCTGCAATTTCGTCTTTTTAATTTCTCTATACTTTTTAGCTACATCTTTTGAGAGTTCTGCTATTTTTATCATCAAAGCTGGTGGATAACTAAACAGAAATAAATATATTTTGGTAAATGTGGGGACAACTTAACACACCACAAATTATTATAAACTTTAGTTACCTGCATCCCATAAATTCTATATTCGTAAAAGTTCTGGCTAGAGCAACCAAGTAATCTTCTGAAAATGTTCCTTTGTGCTGCTTCATAAACTCTTTTCTCAACTCCCAGTGATGTTCAGGCTCATTATCATCTTTATAGTCTTCAATATCCCAATCAGTGGGGTATGTTTTCGCCATTTTAATAAAAAACGAAGTTAATTATAAAATTGATTTGTTTTTTGTTTACGAAGACGAAAAAACATGATAAACATAACCTAAGTTTGATCCCTTCCCCCGAATATTTGACAGTGACTATTCTAAGATCGCAGGTAATTTATAGAACAAATTTTACTATATTTAATTAATTTTTATTATATTTTTGAGTTTAAACTTATTAACTCCTTGACTAAGTGAATATTTCATTAAAAATTTTTGTGCTTAAATCGACAAAAATCATTTTTATTTTACTTTCAAATTAAATTTACCGGTAATGGCAGTAGAGACATTCTTTTGATTAAACTATTGTCACATAGATGGCAGAAGAAACAACAACCTAAAAAATTATCGACTGATGACGATATTGAGCGACCTTGTAATGTTTGTAAATAACACAGACACGTTGAACTGTTGTTGTGTTTGCTAGAGTGCTATATTTGCAAGTTTCATAGTTTGCCTTTAGAAAATAACATCGAAAATGAATTTTGAAGAAATGGCAGTGATTGAAGAACATAGTGTTTGTGTAAGTTACCCATGACATTAGTTGTTTAAGCAAATATTAAGTAATCATTGTATGATCACAGTCTGGTCTAGTGATAGACATACTTTCATGCATGTTTTGAATATCTTTAATAAATTCCCTATTGAAGACCCATTTATTCATCAAAAAAACGTTCGCTTCTGAATAAATTTCGACCGTCTTTAGTAAGGTAGTATGTATATTATTTGGATTGGAAATTAAATATTTCGTGAGGCACTGTTTTGGGTAAGTTTTGTTATGCGCATGCGTGGGTATTACCACGAAATTTGAATTGATTAAAATTAATAAATGAAAAATAGAACTTTAATTAAATCTGATTTTCTATTGAAAGTTTCAAATCAGAGAAAGCTATTCTGCTAAATATGAATATTTTAAAATATTTTGCTAGTACCTATATGTTACAATGTTAATACTTGAAATTTGTTATTCTTCCTTCCTTCCCCCTCTTTATACCCATGTAACATTTTTAAATTGTTGGTAGGTACATCCAGATTTCAATTCCAGTTGGCTATCGTTTCGATGATTTTTGGGGAGGTTTTACAGATTATCCTAATAGTGTGGAAAGGTGTAACCTCCAATAAACAAATCAAATTGACTTTGGTGTTCAATTTTATTGAAATTTTCATCTTAGTACTGTTGATAAATATACTTGACACAATCTTACATTACTTAAGTTTCCACAAAGTAGGCTTATGTCACTCCTCCCACACATGTCACTTCTCCCACACATGTCACTTTTTCCACAAATATGTAACTTTTCTGTGTTATTATTAATGACATGTTTCAGGGTTTTTGGATTTTCACGTATTAAGGGGGGAAATGGGGGTGAAAATTTATTTGGGAATATCCATGTTTTTTGGTTCTCTTTAAAGTTAAAAACATGAAAATTGGAATTGCAGCTACTGAGTACAAATTAATAATAATGTGATTTAGGGTTTTTATATTTTTACATCTTGAGGGGGGCAAACGGAGGTAAAAGTTTGTATGGGGGTATAACTTTTTTTGTTCTCTTTGAAGTTAGAAACATGAAAATTGGAATTGCAGCTAATGAGTACAAATTAATAATGACGTGTTTTAGGGTTTTTGGATTTTCACAAGAGGGGGGAAACGGAGGGTGAAAGTTTATTTGGAAATATCGATTTTTTTAAAGGTAGGAAATTGAAAATTGGAATTGTAGGTTCTCATCATAAAAACATAATGAAGTGTTTCATGATTTTTGGATTTTCACATTTTAAGGGGGGCAAACGGGGGTGAAAATTAATAAAAATAAAAAATTAATAAAAATTATTAAAAATTAATAAAACTTAAATGAATAAAAATGAATAAAAATGAATAAAAATGAATAAAAATGAATAAAAATGAATAAAAATGAATAAAAATGAATAAAAATGAATAAAAATGAATAAAAATGAATAAAAATGAATAAAAATAAATAAAAATGAATAAAAATGAATAAAAATGAATAAAAATGAATAAAAATGAATAAAAATAAATAAAAATGAATAAAAATTAATAAAAATTAATAAAAATTAATAGAAATGAATAAAAATGTATAAAAATTAATAAAAATGAATAAAAATGTATAAAAATGAATAAAAATGAATAAAAATGAATAAAAATGAATAAAAATGAATAAAAATGAATAAAAATGAATAAAAATGAATAAAATTGAATAAAAATGAATAAAAATGAATAAAAATGAATAAAATGAATTAAAATAAATAAAAACAAATAAAAATTAATAAAAATGAGTAAAAATTAATAAATATAAAAAAAATAAATAAAAATGAATGAAAATCAATAAAACTAATAAAAATTAATAAAAAAAGAAAGTAATGTATTTTTTTATATTAATAACACGACTACATGCGAGAAAAGTCGCGAGCAAAGCTGCGGGCAATAGCTAGTATAATATAAGTGTGTTGCAGTCTGTATCCTATTTATTGAGTTTTTTTGTAGTTTTTAACAAGTTGAGTCCTAATGTTAAGGCCTCAAATGCATCTGTATTCAGAGACCTATAGCATACCTAACTAACACTTAATCACGAATTTGGATTATTACACTTTTAGTCATATTATGCATCTACCAGTGAAAGAAAGGTTCTAAAAATAATTATAGTTACTTAACTCCTATAATAACACAAGTATGAATTGCTATCCCATAAAAATATAAAAACAGATGACTGAATTTTAGTAAGAGTGTGTACCTTTAGTTATTGTCAGATAGCAGTAGGTACAAATTCAAAACAAAACATTTTTTAAGTGAAAGAGACTGTCCATTCTTGTTCTTTTATTTTTATTAATAGATCGGATATTTGGCTGTTGTTGTATTAAGAATTTTTCATGTATTTTCTTAACAAAATTCCTCTATTTAGATGTTAAGAAAACAAAACTTTAATTTTATGACAGTTATTAACTAAACAGGGTGTCAATTTAAAAATTCCCATTGGCAATATCTCCTAATAAAAAATATATCAAAAATTATAAAAAACTATTACATATTTTAAAGTGTGACACTTCATTTGATAGCTATTTTGTTTGAGTGCGATTGAAATTAAATTTTTCAATTCTAATATTAATAGCATTATTATGCTTATTTAAGTTATGTTTTACTAAATTGTTTTATGTTGTTCATTAAATTAATAATAATATTGGCATTCACATTGGGTCACATCCTTGAATACAAGTCAAGTGGTACTTTTGTGTATCTGGAAAGTGTCACTCATCTCGGCAAAGGTTTATTCTTAGATAAACCCAGATGCATGGACTGAAATCCAGGCACTAGATTGCATTCTGAGTTATTAGGAAGAATTGGTCACTTGTGCTTTTATTTAACAATATTGATTTCTTTTGGATGTACTTTTATTCTTTGGAGTAAAGAGTGTATCAGTTATTCGTTTATTATTTTATTAATAAAATTATGTGTCACACTTTAGAATGTGTAAAACAGTTTTTTAACCCGCTAAAGGGCGCTAAAATCAAAATTACCACAATTCAGTCATACTGCTGAATTCCCTCTAAAATTACCTTTTTAATAAGGTATGTATCATACTTTGCACTTTCCCTATTTAAATTAAATTCAAAGAAATGTTGCTTATCAATGGATTTTTCGTTTTTTCTTGGAAATGAAATATATGCTTCGTAAGGAAATCAGACTAGTCTCAAATTGTTTCTAATATTATTATGTAGTTGTATACCAATTTTTAAAGTGTTAAGTTTTTCCCTTCTGTACCAAATAGCTTTTTCTAATATTTCAAAAACGGCTGCTACCCCATTGAACCAACTTAGACCCCTCAAGGAAATCAGACTAGTTTCAAATGGTTTCTAATATTATTATAGAGTTGTTTACCAATTTTTAAAGTGTTAACTTTTTCCCTTCTGTACCAAATAGCTTTTTCCAATATTTCAAAAAGAGCTGCTACCCCATTGAACTAACTTAAAATCCTCGTAAGGAAATAAGACTAGTCTCAAATTGTTTCTAATATTATTATCTAGTTGTATACCAATTTTTAAAGTGTTAACTTTTTCCCTTCTGTACCAAATAGCTTTTTCCAATATTTCAAAAAGGGCTGCTACCCCATTGAACCAACTTAGACCCCTAGTAAGGAAATCAGACTAGTCTCAAATTGTTTCTAATATTATTATCTAGTTGTATACAAATTTTTAAAGTGTTAACATTTTCCCTTCTGTACCAAATAGCTTTTTCCAATATTTCAAAAAGGGCTGCTACCCCATTGAACTAATTTGAACCCCTCGTAAGGAAATTAGACTAGTCTCAAATTGTTTCTAATATTATTATCTAGTTGCATACCAATTTTTAAAGTGTTCACTTTTTCCCTTCTGTACCAAATAGCTTTTTCCAATATTTCAAAAAGGGCTGCTACCCCATTGAACCAACTTAGACCCCTAGTAAGGAAATCAGACTAGTCTCAAATTGTTTCTAATATTATTATCTAGTTGTATACAAATTTTTAAAGTGTTAACATTTTCCCTTCTGTACCAAATAGCTTTTTCCAATATTTCAAAAAGGGCTGCTACCCCATTGAACTAACTTAAACCCCTCGTAAGGAAATCAGACTAGTCTTAAATTGTTTCTAATATTATTATTATCTAGTTTGTATACCAATTTTTAAAGTGTTCACTTTTTCCCTTCTGTACCAAATAGCTTTTTCCAATATTTCAAAAAGGGCTGCTGCCCCATTGAACTAACTTAAACCCCTCGTAAGGAAATCAGACTAGTCTCAAATTGTTTCTAATATTATTATTATCTAGTTTGTATACCAATTTTTAAAGTGTTCACTTTTTCCCTTCTGGACCAAATAGCTTTTTCCAATATTTCAAAAAGGGCAGCTACCCCATTGAACCAATTTTGACGCCTCGGAAGGAAATAAGACTCTTCTAAAATTGTTAATAATATTATTATTTGAAATAAAATGAATTTAGCTCAAATCCAATATCACATAAATTACAACGACTGTTTCCCCTTCAAAAAACAACTACTCCTTTGGCTAATACCGCAATAGGCATTGAATTACATCCGAAGGAAAAACAGCAGAGATAGAAATTAATTTTCAACACTCTCTACTTTGATTTTGCTCACCAAGGAGAACATCATTCTTGGACCGGTTTCGTCCTTTCCTCTCCAATATTATTATTTCCTTGTATACCGATTTGTAAAGTTTTAACCTTTTTAAAGACGCTACTGATTTTTCGGGCATCTTCGGAAAATTGGCCGCTAGCTTTTGGCTGCCAAGTTCACACCAGTGAATTTAACCAATAATTATCATATTCGCATATCAATCAAAATATATATTTTTTTCTTTAGTAAAATGTATAATAAAAATAGTTTAATCTTTTGCTAGTAACTGCCCGACTTTTCTTTCATACTTACCACAACACGTAAAAAATAATAAAAAATATACCTATTTCACTAAATTTTTACAATCAAAAGAGCGAGTTAGACCCTGGCCGAATCACTTTATATTCGCTAATCCAGGC